CTCTTATTAGCTCAGACCTCATAAGGTTGTATGCAACATTCCTAAGCTCAATAGAAAGGAATCCAACTCCTATCATATTGCCAGCCCATAAATCCCAGGGTGGCCTCGAGCATCCGCCCATGCCCACAAGTATAAAGTCTTGAGCACTAACCCTCCTCAAATTCACATAGGGATATGTAGTCCGGGTTCTCATGATGATATCTCCATCTAGCATGGTAAGAACCCAACATCATGCTCACATGCATTATATGCAAGCTCTAATGCTTGAACCTAAAGGCACCACACGAATGCTAGTTAGTAGCCAGCCTAGAGCCCCTCTAAGCTCGTCTTATTCTCATGAAACTTTTATCTTAGGGCCTTGGCCCTTAGCCTTAGTTTAGGCTGCCTGCACACATGATGAACACCCAACATCATGCTCGTCTTACCTCATAAAACTCAGGTGTGCTACCCCAGTCGCAGCACACCTCTATCGAGTGCCACAAGGGTCTAGTAGCATGCTTGCCTGCTAGCCCACTCATCCCTCTAGCTCAATAGTGTCCTTACTATGTAAACACCATCTCATGATCCTTGGTTACTGATCAATTCGACTTAAAAAAGGAAAATCGAGGGGCATAGCGAATGATACCATCTAATCTTATGGTCTAATGCAACGGCATAAAATAAGGCCTGTCGATCCCAACCGTCGTCAGGTTTACCATGACTTGAGGAGACATCATACCACATTTATGACTCGATGATACCTATCCAACTAAACACCACATGTGCGTACGAGTAGCTAATTTCAGACTAACAAGGCCCCGCTTGCTTGCTAGCCAAAGAGGTGGTAAAAAGCTAATACTAGATGTCCCCCTATAGAGAGCATAAAAGATTTCACAACTCTACTACTAGGAACTGTAAGAATATAAAAAATGGGGGCACTTTTCTCTCTAACCATCTTAGGGCCCTCTTCAGCTAACTTAAGGCCTAGTGACCAGCTTTTTGGCCACTATGATTCTAAGATTCTGCTCATTGCTCTACCAACCAATTCGAGGATGCACGACAGCACCCAACTAGGTACCAGGCTCCAAGGTACCTGCATATTACCCCGTACTTATCCTTTTATCTTAGGACTAGGGCACACATTGTTGCATGCTTAATCAGCAACATGCTATCGGGCTTACACCGTTCACCCATTGCTCTAAAACCACTGTCCCGATCATAAATGCCTCGTCTGCTGCTCAGCTTAAGGTTAATCATGGTAGGACCAAAGCTCAACAAGGCCTAACCATGACACTCTCCTTCACTTGCTATGTTGATGCTTTCATCGACACCAAGACCACACCCAACTTTCTTGTTACACATAGTTGACATTTTTGCATATGTCCCTCACTTATGCCCTCAAGGATTAGGTGAATATCCTATCACATAAGGCACCACACAAAGTACTTGTTCATTGCTGCTATCGATGAGTCTCATCCCAGCTCCAATACACTATTGTGCTGATTCCACATATGATAGACACTCAATCAATTTTTTATTTATGCCACTACATTGCTTCACCCATAATCACATCATGTTACAACCTGAAGGTACCCTTATCGATCTTGACCCTTAGTCAGTGAATGACCACCTGTTTTGCCATACATTAGTATGCTCTATTGGACATAACCTATCACACCAACTATTCGTCTACAGCACCAACTTTTTGATACGTCCCTCTGGACATGGTGCTTAGAATAACAACACTCATACGACACCACCTACAAGAGATCCTAGCATGGTGGCATTCAAAAACTTTAATTATCTCATAACTTGAGTCTTTTCAACCCCTCCAAGGTTGTCTCTCTATGTATGGCTCTCTGGCTAACTAGCCATTGTGGCAGCACCTTAACACTCATTATCTCGAACTCAATCCCATACTAAAGAAACTTATAGGCTCTACTGCCTTAGCTCATTACCACATGTAAACTCAATGCTCTTTTATTTTTACTCAAATTCAGCTCGACTCTACAAGCAACCATGCCTCAATAAAGGTTCCAACAATTATCTGCCTTGACTCTAACATAGTTCAAAAGGTAACTCAAAGCCCATACAAAGCTCAAAAACCCGTTGATCTATTCTAAACATAAGGTTTCCTAACTTGTTCAATCCCAAGTTTCACTAACCTATTCAATACTCAAGGTCCACAGATTTACTCGGACTTAAGGCCATCTCATTGGCTGGCATTTACTTAAAAGGTTCCACAATCCTAATTGGCTTAATTCTATCTTACTCAAACTCATCCAATCCATTGATTGGATGTAACTCGAATCTCAATACCATCGGCTTACTTAACTTGATCTATCCTCTGACCTATACAACTCATGGCCTTATCAATTGGCCAACTGGCACTTGCTTGCTTCACAAACTAAACAACATTGTGTTTCACTAACCACCACAACTCATAAGACCTTTTTTCTCAGCTAACAGAAGCACAATCCATTAACTAACACAATCTCGTGGTCCACTGACCACCAAAATTCATGGTCCACTGACCATCATCAACTTATAGCTTCAATCCTTAACCAATTCAAACTCGTTTACCTTTGTAGAATTCTTCAAGCTTGGACCATAAATACTTGGCTCATACCCCAGCTAGGGCATCTGTAGCATTTCATAAATGCACACGTTAGTAATATTATCTTAATATGAATAACTCATGTCCCTTATGATAAAACTCGTTTTGGCTCTCATGCCCTTACATAATACCATTTCATGTAATCTTTTTCGCATTTGGATCTCATAATCAAGTGTAATCCGAAGGGCATCTTATGCCCATATAAGCCAACACCCTTCACTAGGTGAGGCTAAACTCCTATGCCTTTTTGCTAAGCATCCAAAAGCCTACTTAAAGGCTTTCCATAAAGATCAATTTTCTCACGAATTGCATCGATGGCTCATTCTTAAGCCCATATAGCCATAATAACTTGATCTCGCCTTGATAGCTCTCTTTTGAGCTTAGCACCTTCTTAATTTATTGATATCATGCCCACACTTGAGCAGCTTTGGTCCCATCGCTAAGCTAAGTTAAGTTCTGATACCAACTGTCACGGGTCGTACGTTTTTTATATCGAAATCACGTGTCTGTGCGACAATAAAACTATTCATAGTCGAGGTCAACCTTTTTTTAATTTATTTCTCTACGAATAGCACGTTATCGATCTTTTAAACCATATACTTGTGAGCTTTATTGGCTTAGATCTTGTAGGGTCGCATGCAATATTCTCAAACTCAATAGAAAAGAGCTCAACTCTCATCATATCGTTAGCCCACAAATCTTAAGGTGACCCCGAGACACCTATCCATGCCCACAGACATAAGATCTTGAGCACCGACTTCTCATCGAATTCACATAGGGGTGTGTAGCCATAATTTTTATGATGATATCTTCATCTAGCATGGTAATAATCCAATACTATGCCCACATGCATTATACGAAGTTTTAGTGCCCGAATTCAAAGGTATTACATGAATGCTAGTCAATAGCCAGCCTGAAACCTTTTCAGGCTCATCTTATTCCCAAGAAACTTTTATCTTAAGTACCTCAATTTTTAACCTTATTTTAGGTTGCCTGCACATATGATAGACATCTGACATCATGTCTGTCCCACTTAGTGGAACTCAGATGTGCTACCCCAACCGCAACACACCTCTATTGATCGTCATGAGGGTCTAGCAGCATGTTTGCCTGCTAGCATGCTCATCTTTTAGGCTCGACAGTACTCATTCTATGCAAACACCATTTCATGATCCTTGTTTACTAATCGATTTAGCTTAAGGAGGAAAAATCGAAGGACATAACCAATGTTACTTTTTAACCCTACGGTATAACACAACGACGTGATATAAAACCTATCGACCCCTACTATCCTCTGATTTACCTTAACCTAAAAAGACATTGAGCCACATGATGCTCATCCACTTAAACACCAATGTGCCTAAGAGAAGCTCACTTCACACTAACAAGGGCTCATCCACTTGCAAGCTAAAGGAGTGGCAGAGAGTTAACATCAGACGTTCCTTTATAAAAAATGTAAGAGATTTTACAACTCTGCTATCAAGAACCGTAAGAATATTTGAAATGGAGACACTTTTCTCCCCATCCATCTTAAAGCCCTTTTCAGCTAACTCAGGGCCCAATGATTTGCCTCTTGGCCACCATGATTTTAAAATTCTGCTCGTTGCTCTACCGACTCATTTGAGGGTGCATGCACGCGACTTCGACCGATAGCACCCAACTAGTTACCAAGATCCATGGTGCCTATATACTAGACTTAACAATTTTAGATATGACACAGTGATAAAATACAAAAATGATATGAAAAAAATTATAAGTGCTTTAATAAAAATACATATAAAGATTATTTTAATTTTTAATCTTTTAATTATGATACTTAATTAGATATTTAATTTCATATAAAAATTATTTTAAACATTTAATTGTTTTATATTAATAATATAAATACAATATAAATATTAATACTAATCTTATGCATTATTATTTTATTCTTTAATCTTTAATATTTTATCATTTTAAATTTGATATTAAAAATTAATATAATTATGTAATTTAAATTAAAATTAAAAAACTATATTAAATATATATTAAATGAGTATTAAATTTTTTTTAATATGTAAGTATTTTTTTATATTATTAATATACGCAATTTATTAAATAATAAATGATGAATAATTTATAATTATTTATTATTTTAATCATATTTTTATATATATTAATATTAATCATATCTATTTGTATATATCAATATTAATTGTGTCTATTTGTAATATTCGTATTATTCATATTATTCATGTTTATTCCTATCATATTTAAACGAATTAATTATACACATATTAATCGTATCATATCCCGTATAACATAAAATATTAAATGTATAAAATTTATTTTAAAATTTAAATATATTTTATTATTTATGTTATATTTATATCATTATATATGCCACACAACATAAAACATGATATAAAAATAAGAACTACCATATCTACCGCACACTATTCCGTACTTATTCCCCCCATCTTAAGACTAGTGCACACACTAGCCACACACTCAATCAATAACATGCTTTCGAGCTGACACCGCACGGTCACTGCTCTAGAACCATTGTCTCGATCACAAGAGTTCATTAGTTGCTAACTTAAGATCAGTCATGACAAGACGAAGGCTCGCCACAGCCGGACCATGACACTGTCCGTATAAATCATATACGTCACTTGTGCCTCGAGGTTTACACAATCAATCAACAAAGCGATTCATTATTATTACAGCACTATTAAAACAGGTTTTATCAGTCTGAACTCAGACCTCGGCAGAAGGATAAACCAGGGCTGCCTAAAAAATTGACTACACATTCACACCGGTGTACAGTGAATACACGGTTCTGTACGAATGCTGAAAAGAAAAGAGATTTTGGTTCTTTTGCAGATTTATTAGGGTGAAAGGGTTGTTTCCTAGGGGTTGGCATTACTCCATGCCACGCTTCAAGTGACGATATCAGAAGATTCAGATGGAGAATCGGGAAAAATTCAAGGATCATGACGATTTCTGCGTCCTGGAGAAGCAAAAACAGAGATGGTCCACCGACCCTTTTCTATGGTTTTAGTGATGGATAGAGAGAGCCTAAATCCCACCGCTAAGGGGAACATAATGATTACTTGCAGCTTGATCTACAGAAAGTGAATCTGTATTCGATGCAATTCAGAAAATAAAAAATAACTCTTGTTAAAATTTTGCAGGAAAAATTTGACAATCTGAGCATTTTCAAATTAGAAGTCACAAAATTTCTAAAATTCATCATTTCCTATAATATTTGTTCAAAAATCCTATGTGTCTACCTGAAAATCAAGCTACTGTTTTCTTCCCCTTCCCTTCTTTGCTGGCTGTGCTACCATCTGTTCTTTCCCTGTAATTTCTGACATATCCACTGCATCAAAAGGAAGAATGCTAACTAGTTAGAGCATCCAGACGCAAAACCAAAAATACGCATATAAATAATAAAAGAAAATGTTGGAAAAAGTTGTTAATAACGATAAATAAACTCCATGCCATGGCCCACATTTCAATGGCATCCGTCTTAGGGGGCTTCTTTTCCACTGTCTGATCTTTGGAATCCAATCCAATTCAACTAGATTATTAATTTTGTTTTTCGTTGTATATCTAAAAGAAACTCCATAGGGATTTTGTACCACTTTCAACTTCTAAGACATTTAACAGAAAAGTATTGTCAGGAGCATGGACATCCTAGCAAAACTCATTGGCTTCTTAAAAAGAAAATATTATGCTCCCCTCCGCCACCCCCACCCCCCACCTTTTTTTGGGCTCCTCAAGAGGAAAAATTTTGAATATCATGTATTTAATTGCCACATGACCTACATCCAATAATGATGATTCGTGTTTTGCTACATATGAACACAGATGAGTGAATTTTATTACAAAGAAATGAAGAACAATACCGTCAGGTCCCCCCCAAGCCATCAAAGTGAAGAATATATTGTTCAGTTTCTCCATTTTCTTGGCCTCCTGTGCTTGATCTGTCTTGAACTTGAGGCACTAATAACCAGCAAAATAGTTCATCATAAGCAAATCCCATACCATATATAGCATAATAGAAGTAGGGTAACATCAAATCCAGATGTCATAGATCCCCGTTCGAAAGTCTCAATTATCAACTGACCGGTTCTGTCTTAAACAAACCTAAAATACTACTTAAATAAATACTTTAGAGTACGGGTTCCAAACCTGTCCATGGGCCAGGCCAGGCCCAATCTGCCATTCAAAAGTCTTGTGTAGGACCGCTCAGCCTGTCGGGTCCAAGAGGCCTTTTTTTTTAATATTTAAGGAAATGAAAATATTTATTATTTAAATATATTTTAAAATTAAAATCAAATAAAAAATAAATTTTATTCATAAAATAAAATTTCGGCCATGATATGCCCGAGCTCCGAAACTCATGTCAGGGCCTGGCCCAAGTCCCTAAAAGACAGTAGAAAGTGAAAAATTAAAAAAAAAAAATACATGTACACTAGGTATGAATATCAGACTTGGTGAGGAGATTGGAAAGACATTAGGAGGAGGACAGAAGCAGAACTGAGATTTAATTGTGATTGCCTAATGTATCATATTTTTCCAACAAACTCGTTATACTAACTTTTATAAGATCCCTCAACAGCTCTGGGCCTTTGATCCAGTTTAGAAGCTATTAGCTGATAGGTGGAGGCTTCACTTGCACTTATATATTCAAATTTAGATATTCAAGCAACATTGGATTCTTATCCATTACATCCTACACCGTATGTCCTTATCCAACCATGGTCCTCGTAGCACATTGCCAGTTTGCCACATTGGACATTAGTACTAAGTTCTAAACCCAAAAACCATAGATGATTGGAGTAGGCTTCAATTGTGCTCTTCTATGCTTAAGCTTGAGATATTCAGGTTTTGAATTACCCATTGATCCTTTTCTACCATCATATCATCAATTATCAAACTATCACTAACCCTTCAAACCGAAAAAGCTATAAAGACGTTATGATAAGAATTGCAATTATTAACATTACATACTTCTTCCAAGTATATTACATCTAGAATTCAAAGGATTGCTAAAGAGACACTTGACAAATCTAGGGGTAAGGCACCATTAGAAGAGAAATCTTGGTGGTTGAATGAGGATGTGAAAAAGGCAATTAAAGCTAAGTGGGAGTGTAATAAAAATTTATGGAATAATAGGGATGAGGAGAGTTATCGGAAGTATAGGATAGCAAAAAAACAAACCAAGAAGGCTATTCAAGACACAAAGAGTAGGATCCATAAGGAGTTATATAGAAAAAATAAAGACAAGAGTTGGAGAAAAAGAACTTGCTCAAAATTGCTAAGATGAGGGATAAGAAGAGTAGAGATCTTAATAGCATTAGATGCATCAAAGGCAAGGAAAGAAGAGTTTTAACGAAGTATGAGGAGATTAAAAAAGATGGAGAGATTATTTTGATAATCTCTTTAATTGCAATTTTGAGCATGATATAGGTGGGTTGTACATACCTTCACAGGATGTAAATCATGTGCTTAAGTGTAATATTAAAAGCTACGAACTTAAAAAGGCTTTGAGAAGGATGAGACTAAAGAAAACTGTAGGACCAGACGGAATCCCGATTGAAGTTTGGAAATGCTTGGGTGAAATAGGGATAAGATGGTTGACGGATCTTTTCAACAAAATTTGGCACACCCAAAAGATGCCAAAAGAATGGAGGAAGAGCACTCTCGTGCCTTTATACAAGAATAAAGGTGATGTACAAGATTATTCGAACTATCAAGGAATAAAACTTATGAGTCATACTATGAAACTTTGGGAAAGAGTAACTGAATGTAAGTTATGACGTGAGGTCATTATTTCCAAAAACCAATTTGGGTTTATGCCAGGACACTCCATGATAGAGGCGATACACTTTTTGAGGATTTAATTGGAGGGTTATTAGGTGAGAAAGAAAGATCTACATATGGCTTTTATCGACTTGGAGAAAGCTTATGATAAAGTTCCTCAATAGGTGCTTTGGTGGGCCTTAATGAAAAATAAGTACTTTTAAAGTAGATCAACATAATTAAAGATATGCATGAAGGAGTGGTAACGAATGTGAGGATGGTTGGGAGCATGACAGATAGCTTCCCTATTACCTAAGGATTACATAAAGGCTCAGCACTAAGTCCTTTCCTTTTTGCATTAGTTATGGATGAACTCAATAGACAAATCCAAGATAAGGTGCCATGGTGTATGTTATTTGCCAATGATATAGTCTTAGTTGCTGAAACTTGTGATGCCTTTAATACAAAATTAGAATTATGGAAGAATACATTGGAATCTCAAGGTTTTAAATTAAGTAAATCTAAAACTAAATATATGGAATGCAAGTTTAGTAGTCACAAGGAAGTGGGTACTAGTGTGATTAAGTTGGATGGTGAAGAAGTACCAAAGAGTGGCAGTTTCGATATTTGGGATCAATTATTTAGAGTGATACTAAGATAGAAGCAGATGTCAAACATAGGATTCAAGCAGGATGGACGAGGTGGCAAAGTGCTTCAGGTGTTTTATGTGATCACAACATGCCTTTAAAGTTAAAAACAAAATTGTACAAAACAACTATAAGGCCTGCATTACTATATGAAACTGACTGTTGGGCTGTTAAGAAACAATATGAGAAGAAAATGAACGTAGCGGAGATGAGGATGCTTAGATGGATGTGTGTTAAGATTAGAAGAGACAAAATCAGAAATGAAAAGATTCGAGAAAAATTAGGGGTAGTCCAAATTGAAGAAAAGATGAGAGAGGACTGTTTACGATGGTTTGGACATGTGAAGCAAAGGCCTAGCTGTGCACCGATTAGGAGAATTGAGTCGAAACATCTAGGAGAGATCAAAACATCTAAAGGTAGACTGTGAAAGATATGGATGCAAGTAATAAAAAACGATATGATGGTTAAAGAATTAGATGAAAAGGTGGTTGTTGATAGAAAGGAGTGGCGCAAAAAGATTCAAACTACAACTTAACCTGATTCTCTTATTTGGTTTTTCATACAGCCGACCCCAGAGTATGGGATATAAGGCTAAGTGTGTTGTTGTTGTTTGCATACTTCTTCCAAGTCAAAGTGACAGCAATATTGACTGATGAAAGTCTTAAAGGAGTTAGTTAATATGGTACCAAAGAATGCATGGTATATATTTGCTTTTTTTTTGTTAAATTTGTGACAAGAAATATAAATTTACTTTAAAAGAAAAGATTGTGAAAAGAAAAAGAAGATAAAAGGTTTTTACACTGGCTGCATAAAGAAAATAAAAAGGATTATGTTGAAAATCCACCCATATAAAAAGTGAAATATATCAAACAGTAAAAGAAAGATAAAGGTTCCGAAATCCTGAACCAATGAATTGATCATCCAATGACACATAAATTAGATATAACTGACAGGCTAAATTTTTATGCCATTCATCACCTTTCAATTTGTGGTTTCAAGTACATACCAAAATTTGCAGGTTCAAGAAATCAGTTTAACGCCTCCTACAAACTTATCTAAACACAACAGAGCAACTCAGTTTTCAGAGAAAGCAAGCATAAATATTGAGGAATTTTGAAGTTCTCAAAAAACCAAACTGCATCACTTCACCATTTAATGTTAACCTCATTTAAATGGCTTCCTAAAGTTCTTCAATGCAAGTTTCCTTGCCTTTCTTCTCCTTCTACGAGTTAGAATAAAACTGGCAAATATAGCATAAAGGCACTAGCAAGATTCACTCATGCATTATTACTAATAATGAAATAGTCAAATGTGTAATAGCATTTTCTCTAATTTGGGGCCAGAAATGAAAAAAAAAAAAAACAATTTAATTGCTATTTCTTCTGTATAGTCTAGATAACTTGGCTGCAAAAAAGATAGTAAACTAAGAAGACGGTATTTCTAGCAACTTTATCAAGGGGTTATGCAGACCAGGTTAATAAGGCTATATCAAGAAACCTAGGTCTCCATTATCTATGATCAAGAGTTTTGTAGTTTCTATGTCCCTCAACAATATGCCATCAATTTTCTTAGTCTCAATTCAAAAGGCACGGTAACAATCCAAACTGTTAACAGAAAAGGAAGTTTCCTCATACAGCTTATTCAGAAACTAATAAAGAACAAACCAACAGAAAAATAGAACAAGGAAATCATTGCTGCACTTCCATCAAGAGAGCTAAAACAGATAGAATCTCAAGTAAATTATCAACATAATACACATGAGCAAATCCATTCAAGGAAAACAGATCGTCAAATTCTCAGACATCTTTTAAATTAATCCCAAATCTAACCTAATTCTTCGGCAATAAACATCAAATAACACTTCACCATGACAATGGAATCAAACAAAGTCAACAATCCACGCAATTAGGGAATGCAATTCATACCTCTTTGTTATCAGTAACCTTCAAAACCAATTTACCATCACAATGCCGGTACTTCATGCAATACCGAGTCTAGGTCCCCCCGATCCAAATCCGGAAAAAGAGACCACAAAAAAATCAGTAACAATCACAACTGATATTTAGTAAACCCTAACAGTGTTAATCAGACCAAATTTCCATTTATTTAATAACAATGACAGTAATAAGAGTAAGAGGTAGAGAAAAAATGGGAGAGTAAAGTTAACATACAGATTCAGGATCGGCACGGAACAACTGTACTGTTCTCTCAACGAATTCGTCCCACGATGTTATGTAAACCATTGCAACACCGTCAACGGAAGAAGAATCGAATTTTGATGAGAATCTGCAAACGGATCGTCGTCGTCGTCGCCGCACTCGATGAGAAGCTGAGATTTTTATTGATTTTTTTTTCCTTTTTGTCTTTTTGGAGATGGCGGATTTTATGCATTACAAATATTGCGGTCAAATGTTTATCTTAAGCCAATAGAAACTTGCCACGAGAGCAAAGTGTGGGACCGACTTTAATTTTTAAGTAAGGCCGTGTCGTCTTGTTCGCCTAGAAAATCAGCAAAACGCTGCGGTTTTATACTGAGATCTGATGCGGTGTCGTATTGCTGGTTGGCTAAGAGCAACAATTTTTTTTTTTTTTCTTTAGGACGTTTGACGAGTCAGTGAATCAGACATGTTTGTTTGTCTGTAAGCGGAAGTTTTCATTTCAAACCCATTGACAATCTTACAGGGAAGGAACTACGGACCACCAATTCTTGTTTAATGCTAAGAGAATCGTCAAACCCGAATTTCAAAAGAAGAAAAATTGGCCAACGATGCGTATATTTTCTCATTATTATATTAAATGGAATCTATGATAATTAGTCGTATGGATTGTCTTCTTACTTTTAACGCCGCATAAAATTCCTACTCTGTTGCAAGAGAAGGAAAGAAGCGGAAATGAGTTCAGACCAGTCTTCACTTCCATCTGAGACAGAAAAAGGGGCAGTAGGGGGAGAAAATTCCGATGTTTATGAAGATAACGAAGAAAAGCAGGTACGAGGAGAAGGTTCAGAAGGCCATGAAGCCGCCGGGAAAGGGACGTGGAAACACGCAGCTTTTCATGTTGCCACGACCATTGCTACCCCTGCTGCTTATGCTCCTTTGCCTTTTGCCCTCGCTTCTCTCGGTTGGTCTCTTGGTGAGTAGCATCTTCTAGCATCTTTAAATGTCTCCTTATTCTTAAAGTAATTACTGCTTTGGATGAGATTAAAGAAGAATTTTAGTTCTATCTCTTGAAAGGGTAATCGAATAATATGAATTATGATCATTTATAGTTTGCCATAGTTAGTCGCAGAACTTGACTAACCTCTCATGGCCGTAAATTTGCTGCCGATTGGTTTCTAGGTGTAAGTAGTTTGGTGGCTGCAACACTAGCCACGTGGTATTCTAGCTTGCTTATTGCCTCTTTGTGGAGATGGAATGGGAAGAAGCATGTCACGTACCGGCTTCTTGGAGAGAGCATCTTTGGTCAGTATCTGTTTAATTGATTTTTCCTTGTTTATTCCTCTTGCATCCTTCTACTCTTGTGATTTTTATGTAAATGTTGTTACTGTTATATTCAGGAACTTATCAAAGATTCTTCTCAGTTATATGGTTGCCCTTCTGATAATGATCAATCACTACTGTGCTATTTGCTTGACCATTTTTTCTTCTGCTTTTTGAAGGATTCTGGGGTTACTGGTCTATTGCATTTTTTCAGCAGGTGGCTTCATTAGGAAATAATATTGCCATTCAAATTGCTGCTGGCAGCAGCCTCAAGGTCATTCAATCTGGCCTGATTTTTCTTCAGGGATCGTACCAATAAGGCAACAATATTATGCAATATTATGTGTTTAATTGGTTCGAGTAGGGAATATAGTTATGCTCTGTCTTTTGCAGGCGGTTTACAAACACTTCCATAAGGATGGCACACTCACCTTGCAACATTTTATTGTTTTTTTTGGGGCTTTTGAACTTTTCCTCTCTCAGCTCCCTGACATCCACTCTTTAAGATGGGTCAATGGGTTATGCACTTTAAGCACAATTGGCTTTGCCGGCACAACCATCGGCGTCACAATCTATAATGGTAGGCTTGGGATTTAATTCTTCTTTTATCATCTCTATATATGGATTTATGAACTGATTCAGCTTCTAAATTGATCTTGTTAATGCCACTAGTACCAATTGCAAAGTTTTCACAAATTTGCAGGTAAAAAGATTGATAGGGAGTCCGTCAGTTATAGTTTGAAGGGAAGCTCCTCTGCTAAGAGATTTGCAGCATTCAATGCTCTTGGTGCAATTGCCTTTTCATTTGGAGATGCAATGCTTCCAGAAATACAGGTTTAACAGGCTCACATTTCATTGGGTGGTATGAATATGTTTCTATTCGTTTCATGCTAATCAATCATTAACAACTGATAATTTTTGCCAGAATACAGTGAAGGAACCTTCAGTGAAAAATATGTATAAAGGTGTATCAGCGGCATATAGTGTTATTGTTTTAACTTACTGGCAACTAGCTTTCAGTGGATACTGGGCATTTGGATCAGACGTTCAGCCTTACATCGTGGCTTCTTTGACTGTCCCAAAATGGACAATTGTCATGGCCAATATCTTTGCTGTGATTCAGATATCAGGATGCTACCAGGTAGCCTTTCAGGAACAACTTTCTAAGCTTTTAGTAAACATAAACAAATAATCACAGCTATCAGGAATGCCAATCAGGATAGAAAGGAAACTGGTTCACATAAAAAGTCAGGACAACTTTTGATTTTGGATTTTTTAGATAGGATTTGTTGTTTTGGAAGAATGAAACTTTCATTTCAAAACCCAAAAGCGTTAAAACGATTTCTCTGTTTAGATCTATTGCAGGCCTACTTACGCCTACCTTGAGGAAAGAATGCTTTCCAACAGAACTAACAGTTCCACGCTCAGAAATCCCCTTGTCCGCCTTTTGTTCACCTCCATCTACATTGTTCTTATTACTCTCATTGCTGCAGCTATGCCATTTTTTGTAGATTTTGTGTCCATTTGCGGTGCCATTGGATTCACTCCCCTAGACTTTGTCTTCCCTGCTTTAGCATTCCTGAAAGCTGGAAAAATGCCCAAAAACAGACAACTTCGCCTCGCCATGCGGCTTCTGAACATTGCAATAGCCTCCTGGTTTTCAGTTGTTGCTGTTTTGGGTTGCATTGGTGCAATCAGATTTGTTGTTAAAGATGTCAAGACTTACAAGTTCTTTCATGACATGTAAAAGTTCGCATTTACATTATTTGCTATCTATCTATATATAGATTATATCTTTTAATGAAGATCTGCGGTCTAGTTTCTGATATATCATTTTTTTTTCCCAATCATATGAAAAGGGACTGCATGAAAAGCATGCTACTATGTACTATGCATCAATTCGGACAAAAAAATTATAGTGACTGCATTTTTAAATGGTTAAAGCTAAAAATTATTCAGTAACCTTGATATTTTCGTTACATGTTTTATGTGCAATACTTGATTTTGATTCTGTTTTTTTAGATGGTGAAAGTTAAGGTTGAAATACTAGCCACCATACTATAATGAAACAATCTTTTTTAGAGTTACAACTGAATAGTGAATTCTACATGTGCAACCTAACTATTGGTTGGGTGATCAAAGCTTGGGTTGATAACCTTAGAGCAATCTTCATTTTGGGGTTTGAGTTTATTTAAAACCTATATAATTAAAGCTTGGATTGGTAAAGTTCCAGGAAAGCTGCACTCGACTTCTTCGATGGACTAAAGCTCAAGCTTGAGCTGGAGCTGGAGCTGGAGCTGAAGCCTGAGTTTGAAGTTATCTGTTATTTTGGCTAAAAAACATCAATCAAGTTTGAACTAAATTACTAAGAATACAACAATACCAGGAAAGATGGTGGGTTGATTAACCCAATTAGAGATGCACATCCGCAATGTTTGGCTAGGAATCCGATCAGCAGCCTTACTGGCTTTTCTACTAACCCAAGTGAATCTGCAATCTTCAAACTTGTCCTTCAACTTTATGATATCCTGAACCATAGGCCTAAATCTCCAGCTTGCCTTCACATTCCTACTTGTTATAGCTGTATGCAACAATTATGAATCTATCTCAAAATTTGCCTTCTTTACATTCAATCTCTTGACCATTATTACACCTTCCTTAAAGGGCAAAAGCCTCGTAAGTTAGAAATGAGACACGGGTAATTTGTTTGATATTTAACGTTTGACTTTGTGTTGAAGGTTGAAACAGAAATAACGGCTTGTAAATAAATCAAACTATTTCTGTCTTTTTTAAATATATTGTTTAAATGTTTTAAAATAATGTTTGTTTAAATATCTAAAATTTTTAAATTTTTATGTTTTAAAATTTTTTTTATGATTTTATTTATTTTTTTATATTAAAAATGATAAAATTTTAATTTTGTAAAAAAATTTAAAATTTAATATTAAATGTATTAAAATTAATTTTCTTTTAAAAATTCCGTAAAAATATATCAAAGATTTTTTCAAAAAAATTAAAACTAACAAATATTTTAAAACGAAAAAAGTATATCAAAGAATTTAAAAAAAAAAATCGTGCATTTCATCAAAGCAAAATATCTAACTTCGCGTCTCGTATCGATTAGTTTCTCTAATACGTGGCAAAGCGGGAGGACATAATTGTCAAACCAACAAAAGACTCGGTACGGTTATGGAAGCGTCTCTAGCAAGCTTCTTGTCCGTTGCTGCAAAACAAAAAACACTTTTCTAATAAATGACAAAATTAATAAAAACAGTCCGAGATAAAAGAAGCGTGTCTAGCAAGTCTCTTGATCTACTTTCTACCCTCTTCCACTCCCTTGAAGCCTGTAACTGTCAGCTTGGAACAAGCCCCGTCATTTCGTTAGAGCAAACATTTGATCTCTGAAATGGCTTTCTATTCAGTTGAAGGTGTAATGTTTAGTCTATGATTCATTCCTTTATGCTCCTGTCTCCTTTTTTTTTTTTTTTTGTTTCTTCAAGATGCAAAAACGTCGTTCTTTTGTGATTTTGACGTGCGGATGAAAATGCATATTACGACTGGTTTAGTGCGGCCTGTATAGGAGATCTCGATCGCCTTAAGGGTTTGTAACTTGGTATCTCATTTTGTTTCTTGAAAGCTTTATACGGTTTTGACTGTTTTTCTTTCTTTTTTCGGTTGCAGAGTTGGCTGAGAAGAAAGGCAATGGAGGAGATTTGGCCGAAGCTATAGCCAGTTACAAGGACAAAAGTGGCCGTTCCATTTTCCATTTTTCTTGCGATTGCCGGTAGAGAACGAATATGCGAGTATCTTGTCGAAGAACTTAAACTGAATGTTGATGATTTCATTAATGATGAAGGTGGTAGTAAAACTAGCAAGACAACGTGGTGTTTCATGCCCTTTAAGCCATCGTTTTAACTTTAGGGTTTCTTTTTTTTTCCCCCTCAGGTTTGACTCCTCCACATTCAGCAATACTAGGGGAACAACATACTCTTGCTGCTTATCTTCTTGACAGTGGCGCAAATCCCAATGCTGCAGATAATCACGGTGTTACTCCTCTCCATATGGTTGCTAAAATGGGTGTTTTACAATATTTCATTTGCTTTATTTTTGTTTTTCTTCTTATGAATTTTTTGCATTGCTACTGTAACATATAAAAATATAGTGTGATTCTTTTAAGTGTTTGGTTGGACTGTTAACTATAGGATCTCCGAAACTTTTGGAGTATTTGATTAACAAAGGTGCTGAAAGTGAAATCAGATGCTGGAACATCATTGCAACTTGCAGCATAAGTAAACAGGAAAGATATTATGAAAGTTGTGTTGGCAACCATGCCAATGTGAGGATGATAAGTTTTTTTTTTTTATAACTTTTTGCTATTTTAAAAAATTCCTCGTAATTTCTTTATAAATTACATTTCACAGATATATGATGAGATTAAGGCATGATTGTATAAATGTTTGACTTTTTTTTTTAATGTTTTCCTTTTCACTCTTTCACAGCCAAATATTACCTCCTATCAGCTATGGTCCCCAATGTATTCATCAATTGTGAATGGATCAATCCAATGTGTGAAGATGTTGCTTCAGGTATGTAGTTTGTCTACTTACTCTTCTTTCTCCTTCAAATTGTTAGGTCCTTGATATTTTAACTATACTAGCTCATATAGATATGACTTTGGTGCTGCAATGAGTTATTATTGCAATTGGAAGCAATTCCTGGAGTGTTAGGATGACGTTGGAGCTTTGGTGGTATTTCTCACAAATTGGTTGATTGCTCTGACAGACATGGTTTCATAACTTCACATTTTTGTTTTATGTGATTGTGGTTGATAGGCAGGGGCAGATCCAAACTTTGTTTCACAGGGACATACACCCTTAGGTATTGCAGCCTTAACAGATGAGACAGAGATTATCAAGTGCTTGTTGGATGCTGGAGCTGATCCAAATGTCCCCAATCTTTTGACTTATAACATTCTTCTTGGTCTAGCATTTATTTGTATTAAAAATATTTTGAAGCATTAAACATTCCAAATCAAATTTTTTATTATGAGGTGAGGTACATAACCCGTAACAGATCCCATCTTACTGTTTTTTGAAGCATATGATACTGTAACAATGTTGTTCTTACTAGATGTTAATGTTGTTTTAAGCTGCTTCTCTTATATTATTTATGATGGACTTGAGGGAAGTTTTATTTTTGTAATTATGATTATGAATGTTTGAGGTTGATAATTGTTTTCAAACCATTATTTGCTGAGTGGGGTTTTTTATTTATCTGAATTCCTGTGTGCTTGTCAGATTGTAGATAAGACTGTAAGTTTAATCTGAGTGTTTGTGTTTAAGGTAAGTAGCATGGCACACTAATAATCTTGGGTGAATGGTTGCTGAAACTGGTTAACATTATATGTTATAAATGTTCTCTTTGCATCATTTGATTGGCTCTCAGATTAGACTATCGCTTGACTAGTTTGAGATGTAAAGATATTGTGCGTTTTGTTAAACATTACTGATGCAGATGTTTAAATCTAATTATTAGTTGAAAGTTTCTGGCCATGTTTATTAGAAATTTTATTTCTATGGAGTTTTTTATGCTTACTATTAAATCAGGTTGGCAATGTACCTATTGAAGTTGCCGCATCACTTGACAAACATGAAGCGGTTATGTGCCTATTTGCAGTGACTTCTCACAGTTCGACTATTCCCGACTGGAGATTTGATGTAATACTAAACTTCCACTAAGGATGCTACAAAAAGGGTATCACTAGATTGTTGTAGCCAATAGTTGTGGATTACAAAATTGCCTCCTTTCTGTTATATTAAGTATTTGTGCATATGCTTCATGGTCATTTGCATTATTGTTTTGAATTGTTTGGTCTAGTTTCCTTCTTTGGTTATTGTATTTTCAAAGGTAGATTAAATTGTCAACAACTCAGATTGAACAACAATGAGTAAGGACCTGAGAGATTCATTTTTGTGGTTCCTTTCAATTAGTAGAAAATTTCTTTTGAGTATGTCTTTTGCCCATATATGCAACTCTTTTAAACTTTGCTGATTTGAAGCTTTTCTGTTTACGTTCAGTCCAGTTGATCGGAAAAAAAATTGTAATGAAGTTTTATTATAGAGTACATTCCCTTTTGCCATGTTCTATTTATCATGTTGTTTAACTTTTAAGTTGGTTTGCTTTTTGTTTTTAAGTGTTGCATTGCGTTATTAAATTATGACTTTGTTTTTCATTGTTACTGAAATATCTTATAGATGACAGAGAGAAGAATTTCTTGCATTCAAAATCCAAGGGAGACGAGGCTTTCAAATGAAAGGACTATCGTGAGGCAATAAATTGTTACACTGAGGTAATCAGGCCTTAGCACTGAATTTCTAGGTTGCTGTGCAAGTTTTATGCCATGGAAATATAAACATGAAAAAAATGCAGTCATTGATTCACTGGTCTTTTATTGAAATGAATTTGGTAGTATCTCATCAGCTTTCAAATGTTCACTAAATGTGATTGGTCAAATGCAAATTATTTGCATCTGTTAACAATGGCTTTTATTTGTCCTTAATTTCTGTTTGTTTTATATTTGTTTGCCTTGTTGATTTTGGTTTTCTGATAAATATTGCAGGCACTCTCTTATTTCCCTCTTGATGCAGCAGCCATAAATTCCAACCGCAGCTTGTGTTGGGCCCGCTTGAACAAAGGGGATTACGCATTGCAAGATGCTGAATCTTGTCTAGGCGATGGCTTGACTGGCCAAAGGCTTACTATGGGGTAGGGGGTGCATGGATGGTATTAGAAGTAAGCTGATTTCTGACAATTTTTTAAATTCAATTAAATATGAGACGCTGTTCTGTAATTTGAGTTTTATGATGTACAAGTGCAGAATTATATGAATGCAGCTGATGCTTTTTATAATGGCTGGAAGTTGGATCTGAAAACAAGGAGCTTGAACATGCTTTTCTGTAAGAGTTTCGTTTCATACTTCTTGTTTTGCATGGTTAAATTTGAGTGGTTGCATTTGTTTGATTTTATAGACACTTTGGGTATGAGTTGGGACTTGAAGACATGACAAATAATGGTCTTATGTAAGTTTCACTTTTGGCATTGATAGGTTCATTCAAACAAATAGGTGTTAACATTGGCTTGCATGCAAAAAATAGATTCGACTTGTTACCGGACGTTTTCAGATCTCTGCCAAGCATGCTGATAGCTAACACGAGTACATTACATCATTTTACTGTCTTTGATTGTTGTATAAATTATATATAGGGAAGGATTTATCTAGTCTCCGGTCTATGCTATTTGAAAGAAGAAAGGATCAATGGTATAACTTTTATATTAGATATATCTTTAGGATCAACCTAGAAGCCAAACGCTCTGACAGCTTTATTTTAATATATGTAATCTCATTATTATTATTGTTATTAACCCACCATGTGATTCCATTGCATGACAGGGAAGCTATTGAAGCCTAGCGTGAGCGAAGCACCTGTAAATTGGCACTGTTCTTTCCCATATTGTTGTGGCTGAATTTGTGAATATGATTTGGGTGAAGTTTTTTCTTTTTGTTGAAATTGACACTGTAATTGCTCATAGCTGAGTGGGAAGCTGAATAGAGATTTTGGTAAAGTTGTTTCTTTTTGTTAATGCTATGTTGCCTGTTAAGCCTAACTAGCAGTTAATATTTCTAGTTGCATATAATTGTTAGCAAATGCGCCTTGAAATTAGGATATTAAGACTAGAGAAATATGGGCGCTTCTTGGAAAGCAGTGCGATGCGACCCAAGATTAGTAATCTTCGTAGCCTTTAATGCTAGAAATGTTGAATTATAATCAATCTATAAAAAAACCAAAAGATGTGTTAACCCTGTAGTTTTCATGTGAGATTAGAATTAGGGATGACAACGAAATGGGTGGATTTTTATTTATTTCGAATTTGATTTGATTTTATATCTATCAAATTCGATTTTCTTAAATTTGATTTTTGATTCAATTTAATTTTTTTTAATATTTTAATTTTAATTTAATTTTATATTATATTAATCGTATTTAATTTAATTTGAAACTAATAAAATATTATTTTTTAAATATAAATATATTTAAATTTGATTTGATTAAAATCTGTTTTAATATTATTTAACTTGAAATTCGATTTAAAAAATAAAATTAATTTTATAAAATCAGGTCGAATTATAATTTGTCGGATCGGATTGGTTATTCACCTTATTTGGAATGGCATTGGTGGTGTTGATTTAGCGTCACCCGTCTTTCGTGACAACATAAAAATGAAAATGAATTTACTTGATATTTACTGTCTGACATCGCCTTGAAGCACTTACAGTCTCAACTTATAAATAAATCAAACATCAAAGGTATTATTTATTTTTTAAAATTGTTTATTTATATAAATACGAAACATTTATAAGCAATTGACTTGGACGTGCAGAAATTTAAAAAAATAATAATAATTTAAAGGAATTTTGCTTTTCATGTTAATTTTGATAGCTGTTACATTAATTTATAAACAAAGATTGTATAAAACTGAAGTAGATTAGTGATTTTTAAAAGGTAAAGTGTGAATATATATAACACAACAAAAAGTTACAACATATAACTTCATTCATGATTTTATCCAGAGATTGTTTGACTATAAACTTAATGTTCTATTAGAAATATATCCATATTAATAACACGAATAAGAAATTTTTTTTTTCCTTGGATATCTGATAACCATTTTATTATTTTGCTATATTTCCTTTTATATAACCATGGTTAAAAAAGACATATTATAGACCTACGGTCTCAAAGACTCAAAGCACACGGACCAGCAACACTTCAACACCTACACTACCACCGTAATTTTTTTCAAACTCATTCTTTCGTTCGTAAGGTTGTGTTTGATAGAAATGAAAAAACAATGAAGAAAATTTTTTTATTAATTTAATGATTAAATCTATAACCATTCTTTTATTTCGTTAAATTTATTAATTTAATGATTAAATTTATAATCACTTTTTCATTTGGTAACTTAATTCTTAGGCAGAAAAAAAAAATTTTCTCATTCTTTTTCATCTTTCATACCAAACAGATTTTTTTCTAAAATCCGTCAAAAGTCCAAACAGAGTGTAGCGGACCACGAAGTACGAACTCAAGAAGTTGGGCCTAGTGCTTTGCACGTAACCGTCAAAACGAATGACCCCTCAACTTCTCTTAAGCGGCGGGCCGCCTTTTATTTCCGTTGTTCTTTTATTGCACCGTTATTTATACATGGATATCAAATTCCTTAAAAATCACTTTAATTTGTGAAATTACAATCAATTACAAGTTACAACATCGTTCATATATATATATATATATATATATAGATACATAAAGGAAGCGTGCCTAGCAAATTCCTCCGAATCAACCCCTCACCCGGCTTCCCTGTTTTTCCTGGCGCTTTTCTTCCACTCTCCTCTTTCACACCTCAAACTATCCACTTTGTGACAAATCCCGTAATTTCCTTAGCAAACTTCTTGTTCTTTGAAATGACGTTTTATTCGGTTGAAGGTTTTGTTTACTCTTATCATTCCTTCGTTTCTTTGTTTCTTTGTTTCTTGTTTTTTCAAGATGCTACAACGTTGTTGTTTTGTACTTTGACCTGCAGAAGATAAAAATAATGCATACTACGACTGGTTTCGTGCTACCTGGTTAGGAGATCTCGATCGCCTCAAGGGTTTGTAACTTAATATCCTCTTTTTTGTTTCTTGTAGGTTATACACTACGCTATACCGTTTTCTTTCTTTCTTTCTTCGGTCGCAGAGTTGGCTGAGAACAATGCCAATGAAGGAGATTTGGCTAAAACAATAGCCAGTTGTAAGGACAAAAGCGGCCGATCCATTTTTCACTTTGCAGCGAATGCCGGTAGAAAACGGATATGCAAGTATCTCATCGAGGAACTTAAACTGAATGTCGATGATTTTATTAATGATGAAGGTAATTGAAGATAATATATACTAGCAACAAAAACTCGGTGTTTCTCGCCCTTTAAGCCATCGTTTTATCTTTGGGGTTTTCCTTTTTTACTTTTCGCAGGTTTGACTCCTCTGCATTCTGCAATTCAAGGGGAACAACATACTCTTGCAGTTTATCTTCTTGACAAGGGGGCAAATCCCAATGTTGTGGATAATCACGACTATACTCCTCTGCATATGGCTGCTAAAACGGGTATTTTACATTCTTTTTTATTTTATTATTATTATTTTTTATGTATCAATTGCATTGATATTGTAACTTATATAGTTGGATGAATCTTTTAAATGGTTGGCATGTTTAATGCAGGATCTCTGAAACTTTTGGAGCATTTAATAAAAAAAGGCGCTGAAATTGATGCAATATCAGATGCCGGAACACCATTGACCATTGCAGCAGATGTTAACAGGAAAGATATTATGAAAGTTTTGTTGGATAACCATGCCAATGTAAGGATGATTAAGGTTTTTACTTTCTTTAAATAATATATTGTAATTTCTTTGTTATGACATTTTACCTATAATGACTTTTAATTTTTCTTTTTCACTCTTTTACAGCCAAATGTTGACTCTAATGATTTGTCCCCACTGTATATATCGGTTAAGAAAGGATCAATGGAATGCGTGAAGCTGCTGCTCAAAGTATATATTTTCTCTATTTAATTTTTTTTTTGTCTTTCTTCTTCAAGTTGTTATCTCCTTGATATTTGAAGTATAATAGCTGATATAGACATGATTTCTGTAATGTAACGAGTTATTCTTGGAATTGGAAGAAATTCCTGGAAGGTTTAGGATGACATCAGAGTTTTGTTAGTTTTTGTTTCTCACAAATGGGTTTGATTACTGTGGCACCAGCATATACAAGTAGATTGCTCTGGCAAACATTGTTTTATGACTTTATTATGTTGTTTTACGTGATGGTGGTTAATAGAATGGGGCACATCCAAACTTTATGACACGGGGAGATACACCATTAGGGATTGCAGCCTTTACAGGTCAGACAGAAATGATCAAGTGCTTGTTGTGTGCTGAAGCTAATCCAAATATCCGCAATCTTGTGAGTAATTATAACATTCTTCTTGGTCTAGCGTTTATTTGTATTAAAAATATTTTGAAATATTAAACATTCCAAATCAAATTTTTTATTAAGAGGTGAGGTATAGGTCCATTACAGGTCCTATCGAACTGTTTTTTGAAGCATGTACTACCGTAAATATGTGGTTCTTGTTAGATGTTAATGATGTTTTACACTGCTTCGCTTTATATTTATGATGGACTTGGAGTGAAGTTTTATCTTTGTAATTATGACAATGAATGTTTGAGGTTGATTATTGTCTTCAAAACCATTATTTGCTGAGTGGGGGTTTTTATTTATCTGAATTCCAGTGTACTTGTCACATTGTAGTTAAGATCATAAGTTTAATCAGAGGGTTTGTGTTTAAAGTAGGTCGCGTGGCACATTAATTATCCTGGGTGAATGGTTGCTGAAACTGGTTAACGTTATATGTTCTAAATATTGTTCTCTTTGCGTTATTTGATTGACTCTTAGATATCGCTTGACTACTTTGACATGTAAAGTTATTGCTCATTTTGTTAAATGTTACTGGTGCAAATGTTTAAATCTGATTAAAACTTGGAAGTTTCTAGTCATGGTTATTAGAAATTTTATTTCTCTGAAGTTTTAGTGCTTACTATTATATCAGGTTGGCGAGGTACCTATTGAAGTTGCTGCATTGCGTAACAAACGTGAAGCAGTTATGTACCTGTTTCCAGTGACTTCTCGCATTTCAACTATTGAGGACTGGAGCGTTGAGGGATTACTAAACTTCGTTGTCACAAAGGATGCTACAAAAAGGGTATCACTAGATTGTTGTAGCCAATAGTTGTGGATTTCAAGTATATGTGTGTATGCTTCTTGGTTATTTTGCATTATTGTTTTCAGTTGTTTGGTCTACTTTGGTTAGTTATTGTATTTTCGAAGGTAGATTAAATTTTCAACAACTCAGGTTGAACAACATTGAATAAGGACCCCGGAGAATCATTTTTGTGGTTCCTTCCCATGGACTTGTGGATTAAATTAGTGTTAGAAATATTCTTTTAAGCATGTCTTTTGCCCATATATACTATGCTTTCTGTTTAAATGCTCAGTGCAGTTGATTGGAAAAAAATTGCGTAAAGTTTTTATTGTAGAGTATATTCCCTCTTGCCATGTTCTAATTATCATGTTGTTTAACTTATTACGTTGGTTATGCTTTATGTTTAAGTGTGGCATTGAGTTATTAAATTATGACTTTGTTTCTCATTGTTACTGAAATATCTTGCAGAAGAAAGAGACACTGGAGAAGAATTTCTCGAGTTCAAAATCCAAGGGAGAAGAGGCTTTCAAAAGAAAGAACTATCGTGAGGCAATAAATTGTTACACTGAGGTAATCAGGCCTTACCGCTTCATTTCTAGGTTGCAGCCATCCATACTTGCAAGTTTTATGCCCTGGTATGGAAATATAAACATGAACAAAAATACAGTCATTCATTCACTGATCTTTTGTTGAAATGAATTTGGTAATATCTCCTCAGCTTTCAAATGTTCACTAAACCTGATTGGTTAAATGCAAATTACTTGCATCTGTTAACAGTGACTTTATTTGTCCTTAATTTCTGTTTGTTTTATATTTGTTTGCCTTGTTGATTATGGTTTTTGTGATGAATATTGCAGGCACTCTCTTATTTTCCTCTTGATGGAGCAACCATATATTCCAACCTCAGTTTGTGTTGGGCCCGCTTGAACAGAGCGGATTACGCATTGATAGAAGCTGAATCTTGTCTCAGTTTGAGGCCTGACTGGCCAAAGGCTTACTATAGGGTAGGAAGGGCATGGATGCTATCAAAAGTAAGCTGATTTCTAAAAATTCTGAAATGAAATTAAATATGAGACATATTGTTCCGTAGTTTGAGTTTTATTATGATGTGCAAGTGCAGAATTATACGAATGCTGCCGATGCCTTTTATATAGGCTGGAAGTTGGATCTAGAAAACAAGGAGCTTGAACATGCTTTTCTGTAAGAGTTTCTTTTCATACTTCTTATTTTGCATCATATTTACTAAAATCATAGACATAATGTTTAAATTTGAGTGGTTGAATTTGTTTAGGGTTTTTAGGCACTTTGTGAATGAGGTGGGATTTGATGACATGACGAATAATTTTTATTCCAGTACTTTTGGCATTGATAGATTCATTCAAACAAATCAGTCGTTAACATCTGGCTTGCATGCAAAAATAGGCTTTTCTTATATCTGGACCTTTTTAAATCTCTGCCAAGGATATTGATAGTTAACACGGCACGACATCATTCTGCTGTCCTTGATTGTTGTATAAACTATACATAAGGAAGGATTTATGTAGTCTTCCTTCTATGCTATTTGAAAAAAAAAAAAAAGAAGAAAGGATCAATATTTATAATTGTACAACTTTTAGATTAGCTTTATCTTTATGATCACTTAGAAGCCAATCACTCCGACAGCTTTATTGTGAGTGAAATGTGGGCGTGGAGCACAAATGCCTGAGTAATGGTGGTGATATATGGGAAGGGAAACTGGATCTCTGGAAACCTTTGAATTGTTTGTTGATATATGTTGATATATGTAATCTCAATTATAATCATTATTTATTATTATTACCCGCTGATTCCATTGCATGACAGCCAAGCTATCGAAGCCCAGCGTGAGCAAAGCACCTGAAATTGGCACTGATCGAAGCTGAATAGATGTGAATGATTTTGGTGAAGTTTTTTCTTTTTTCCTTCTTTTTGTTGAAAGCACCTGAATTTGACATATCAGAGTGCTTTCCCATATCAGAATGGGCAGATGAACAGAGATCTTGTGAGTGATTTTGGCGAAGAAGTTTCTTCTTGTTGGTTGCTTGTGAAGCCCAACCAGCGGTTATATTTGTAGTTTCATAACCATAATGACAAGAGGAAGAACATGATCAAATGCCAATGGTTGAATGTAAATTTAAATCTTTAAAACCTTCTCACTGATTTGGATATGTATATATATATATATATATATATATATATATATATATATTATATTAAGAGAAATTGCTACTATCACTAGACGGACTATAATACCTTACATAATAATAATAATCCCTAATGAAAATAAACTCAAAATCTGGGAATTACGAAAATCTTATGCTTCTAAATTTTAACAATTTATGGAAATCACGCTCATTTTATTCTATGAAACGGAGCTGGGCGCAATCAAAGCAGAAACTGGCTCCAAGTACGATGATGGAATCTCATATCAATTCCGAGTCCACCAAAACCACGTCATTACGGCTGGAAGTGTAACCTTACCTCTCTTATCCTATCACGAGTAGAGAATTTAACATAACGCGTGTAATGCTGAGGCAGTTCATCCCAGACTCTGGAAAAGGATCATGAAAGCAAAGGGTTCTCTTGGTGTGGAAAGTGAGAAAAATTTAAATCAAAACTACTTGAAAACAATGACAACACCACCTACCGATTGTATCTGTAAATTGGTAATACAATCCATTGCTGCTAGCAAGTTCGATGACATGATTGATTTCGAACAACATGCCACTGCGGTTAACACTAATCCCATTACTTAGCCACAAGCACTGCTCTATTTGTAGGTAGAAAATTAAATAAACCTATTTTAGAAGAACCAACTCACTGAATAGATGCTTTTATAGAATACATGCCGGATCAAAATGTCCTATTCTATCACCAATGAGATTCCATATATATAGATTATTGATGTGGTAGGGGAAAGAATGAAAAAAAGCATTATTATTGATATGGGACTTTTCGTGCATATGCCAATACCATGACAAAGTCCTTTGCCGAAGAACCAACTGATGCTAGTACTCGCTGTGATGTTGATGCTGTTTGTAGCCACAAATCGACTAAATTATACAACTGCAATGTGGGAACCACAGGTTGTCCCATACATTTTATCTCAACCTGCCAAAATGTAAATAAACACAATAAACCTTGTTTATCATCAATAATTACCAAAGTGATACATTGGCTAAACTTTGCTGCAATTTATTTATCAAAAATTGGGATGTAAGCATAAAAGTACTTTCTTTTCACATTTAGTTGGAAACTTGAGCCACTCACACTTCTAAACTTTAAATTACTTATAGTTTATGAGAAAAAGAACCCTAACCACAATAAATTGATATGATGATTCAATGCAAACAAGAAGTGACCCCATAACTTTTTAGAAATAAGCCTCATTAGAAAAAAAAAAAAAAAAAAAAGAAGAAGAAGAAGAAGAAAGGTAGACATTGTAAAACCAAGAAAAAGCTAAGATATTTTTAGCCAAATTTCTTCTTTCGGTATCAGTAGAGAACATTCAAGGAGAATAACTCACCTCAGCTTCATCGGTGAGGTCCAGTTTCTTCATCAGATATTTTTGAATAAAGGAAACAGGTATATTTCCATCCCTGTCACAGAATAAAGAAGTATGATTCTCCTATAATTACAGAAATTTTTAATTGTAATTGAATATGAATCATTCTACCATTTCAATTGTAGCAACACTTAATTAACAGAACATCTTAACCAAATTGGTTATGGAACCATCTCTTAAGTGACACTGACAAAGAACTGTCAATTCGGTTTAAAACTCTCAGTGAAAACATGGTTATTAACCCATATGGCTGATCCAAAATGTAAACTTTGCATGCAGTAGATGAAGAAAAAAAAGGTACAAAAAAAGGCACCTTTAGTTGAAACAAATTAATAGAAGTGGTTTAGCTAGTGATAACAAACCAAACCACCTGAAGAAAAAATGTTCAAAATAACACAGTTAGTTGGCAAAAGAAATAAAATTGCAGATTTATTTTCAGCATTCATCTCACAATAAACTGGTCATTAAGGATAACTATTTATCATGTCACTTTTTTCAGTTTTCAATTTTAAACTATGTATTGTGTAGCTCTCAAGCATGACAAAGAAGTTGTACTCAGCTTGCAGTCTTATCATGATTGCTTAAGGATTCCAATATGGAATCTAATGTAAAGTTGGTCAATGATAAGTCCTCACTCCTCACAGAATAGGAACTTAGGAGCAAATAGAAATCAAGATCATAGTGCCTTTTTCAATTACTTGATCTGCTTGATGTTAATTTCACCATTTCATGCCTGATAACTTAAGCTAAGATCTAGGCAACAATGTCCATAAGGCATTCCCAAATGATTTGGTTAAAGTAGAAAATGAGAGTAAATGCCCATAATGTCATAAAATGATTCGCTAATTAAATTAAACACCTTTCAAAAGAAAGAAATTAAAAGGGGAAAAATAATCACCCATAATCAGTGGACAGGAGCTGGATTAACAATAGGAAGTGACTAGAGAGACCATTTTCATATAAAAAATCTAAAACTGAAGTCATTTTAATAAAACCATTACTTGTCTTACCACACATTCAAACACATTTTGCCTCTCTATCCTAAGCTTACCAGATCTTTATATAACCATCCACACACTGGCCAAACTGGGGTGCAGGAGTTATACAGAAAACAGCCAAGTTATTAATATCTTTGCCTTCACCATCTCTATCCACTCTCACATTCCATTAAACATTTCCTCCATAACTCCAAGTTATCTATTACCTTATAGACTTCAGCATATAATATTTATTGAATTCCTTTAACAGTCTCTAGATTAGTAACAACACACATATGTTCTCCTTTCTGTATGCCAAGCCAAATACTAGGAGATTTATGGTACAGAAAAACAGGACAGCAGGCAGATCAGAATCACAGTGCTAATATGCAACAGATAAAATTAAGGATCTTCCGCCAAAACTAAGAAGTATATATATAGCAAGTTAATGTAAGACTCATGCAAAAGGAAGTTGAAAAAAGAATTTACTTTATCCTTAAGTAATTCGCAGGAATTTGAGGGAGCGGTGCATCTCCTTCCCTGAAAGCATTGACATTTGAATCAGTTTATGACTGAAACAAAATAATCTTAAGATAAAAATGTTTTCAATCCATTAAAGTTTGAAAGATGAGATAAATTCTTATTGGTCTTTTTTTAAAAAAGATTCTTACTGGTCTTCAGAGGCCACTAATGAGAACCAAACAGGACCAATTCTTCTTTCATGCTTTGGACCAGCAGCATCTAGCACAGCTTGTGGAGAAATGCCAGAATCCCCAAATCCAGAAGCCCTTTTTCGACGGATCCTGCGTAACTTTTTTGGAGTTACAGTTTCTGAAGTTGCAAGACCTGCACTATTCTTTCCATCCTCAACTTTTGTTTTGCATTTGTCTTCCCTATGTTTGATTTTGCACATCTGAGCCTCAATATTTGGGACAAGAGTAGGTTCTAATTTAGAATCAGAGCCTTGTGAATTAGACTTGAAGGACTTGGTCCTATTTGCAACCTCCACCAAACAATTCAAAGGTTTCCACAGATCCAGTTTCCCTTCCCATGATTCACCACCATTCTCTGCATCTTTATTTGTGTGTTGGCTAGGTTCAGCAGAAGAAGTACACTGTGTTGTTCGATTTTATAAAGATGAAAGAAATGATCAGTCTAAGCTAAAATATTAATTATTTTCAAGTAAATGGATGTTTGAGAAAAATAGAACTATTAAACAATATTGGACCCTACATCGACAAAAGTCACCACAAACTTAAGAAATATCTAGGCTTCAATTTACCTGTCTTTTATTCTGAGTGAATTTATTTAGCGTTTCAGGTGAGCTTGGACTCTCCTGGTGATCCTCCATAGAATCATCCTCTCTTTTAACAGGCTTCTCTACTGAAAAACTGGAACTGCGTAAAGCACCAGCCTTTCTGGCAACAGCTTTTGTTCTCCTTCCAGTCATGGTAGTTTGTGTTGATACTTTGGGGGCATTAACCACCAACGAAGAAAGTGATCTCTCCTTTCTTCTAGTTGGCATTGTAACTGGGGGCAGAACTTCAGGTGCCTTCACTTTTCTTCTTTTAAGAGGGAAGATTTTTGCCCTAACATCTTGCAAATTATGGTCTGGCCTGATTAACAAAAGCACAGATGAATCTCAATAACATTAAATTTTCCAAAATTTTGATTAACCAACATAATGCATGCGTGTGGATGCTCAACCAAGAAAGATACAAAAGGATTATTCAGAAATGCCAAAAGCTGCATTTGATAACATGAATCCACCCAGTATAAGGTCATTCTTTTCCACTTCAACATATTTAACCTTGACTTTGGCACCGAGAGAGTCACAATCCCAAAAAAGCAATGAGTTATTACTTATGCCTAACACTGCTAGATTCTGCCTAGATATTTCACTTGAAATTGGCTAAGTTACATGTACTAGCCAAATCAGTTGAAAAAAGGGGGACCAAGATACCTCAGGAGGGAAGAGAGTTTAAGCAATATTGGCTTCTTCTAAAGATATCTGTGCTTTTCTATCTTCTTCAAAAAGCTTTGTAACAATGAACTCTGATAAGATTCATTACAATCCTCCAAATTTCTACTCTTTCCACTTCAAAATTTTCATTGCATGCCTTTAAATCTGAAATCTATAGTATCAATGAGAACATAAATGGCATGTATGAGAAGCCACGGTCAAACCTCAAAAGGATGGAATGACTCCCTAATTCATAAAGATTAATGATCCTGAAGCATCCAGAAGAAATCAGTAAACTTTGCCAGTAACAACTTGAAACAAGTAGATATCCTTGGGAGCATTTGACAATATTAAAACTAGAAGTGATTACTTTACATGTCAAAAAAACTTTTGACATGAAAGAAGCAATTAACATATTATGATTTATAACTACGTAAGAGACAAAGAGAAGTTAGTATAGGAAAATAATATCTAAATGAAGGATACCTTAATTTCTCCAGAGGAACACAACCTAAATCAATGTTGCATATTGGACAGCATTCTAGTTCCTCCTCTTGTATCTTATCGTATATGCACTTCCTGCAAACTGCATAAAACTCAAAAGACAAAAGTATCATAAATTTCTATCTATTGACTCGACAGACTTACAAGGCACTGAAATAAAGATCACATGCATCAATATTACAAAAGATTTTAATGGAAACACCCTCAGAAAGCGAAGCAATTAAAGTAATTGAAACTCTTCTGTAACTTGGGAAAGAGGTTGGTTCCATTACATTTCAAAAACTGGAAAATCATATTAAAGTTTGAATCTTGTTATAGACTTGCAAAACAAATAAGGAAAGCTCCAATCTTGGAAAGGACGCTTCAATTGGAAGCAAAGTACATGATAGTAAGAAGCCTTAGCTTAATGGGGGAAATAATAACTGGGTGCAATAAATTTAACGAAACGGATTCATGATCGAATAAACAGAAGTCGTGAATGAATACATTCAAAATCAACTGTCCCAGTAACCAAACTGTATTACCAAAAGTAGCTACTATACATCAACAATTCAACTGTTTCCCTCTCGTTTTATTAAAGTAATCAGTGCGCATTAATCTTATATCAATCTTGCTATTCTGCCAAAATGCCTTAGCATCAACGAATAAGAAACAGAGAGAAACGAAACAAAACAGCAATAACATAAGCTGGCATAGTAACGGAAACATTAAGCGAACAAGTCAACAGAGAGGGTAAGAAGCGAAACCAAGAAAAACCCAGATAAGAAAACGGGAAAAACAAGAGCAACCCAGATCAGAAGAGGAGTAGTAGGCAAAGAAAAAAAAAAACAGAAATTTGAAGAATTAAGAACAAATGGGTTAAAAGGAACGAAATTTGACGGTTATAAAAGAAAAGGAGGGAGAAATCTCAGGAGGAGAGACTCACACGTGTGAAGACATTCAGATATGGTGGTGGCATCTCTTAGAAGCTTGTTGCAAAGAGGACAAGTCATGCATGCCGCAATCGCTTCTCTCCTCACTTTCACCACCAGATTCGCCATCTCTCTTTTCCTTTTTGGCTTCTCTTTCTCTGTTTCAATCTCAATAACCCCTTTGCACGTATCCTCTCAGTGCATGTCAACGACAAGCAAAAGCAAAGGAAATTTTACGTACACATCTTCATAAAAACCTGCATTAAAACCCATGAATGAAATACTAACAAAAAGAAGGGATTATGGACGGAGAAGTTGATAGGAAACGGGAACGAAAGCCAAGAGATATGGGTGCGTAAGAGAGATGGGAACGGTTTTAATCTGAAAGGGAAAGAAAGGAGAAGAAGGAGATTGAGATTAAGGGATTAGACAATGGTGATTTTTGACGTAGATTATTCGGACAGAGCAGAAAAAAAGGGGGATGTGGAGAAGAGGAAGGCAACAATGATCTGAATCTAACAAAACAAATAGAAAAAGAAAGAGAAGGAAAAAGACTAAAGAGGGTGTCGTCGAAAGGAGCATGAACCAAGCGTTTCTTTTGTTTTTTATGTATTTTCCATTTCCTTTTATTTTATTTTATATTTACTAATAAAAATAAGAAAATATTTTAAATATTCCAGGCAAGTTTCAACGGAGAAGAGCCCCAATTAGGTTTTGGAATTTTGGGTCGGCGGTGGGTTCGGACTGGTGACTCTCCCTTCCCTTGTGAATATGAGACGGGCCACAAGGAAAAAGAGAACCCCTAGGCTCTAGCTAATAAACACGGCGTCGTTTCAATGGTATTAAACCATTAGGCTGTTTGTCATGCTGCTACCAATTACCACATGTTTTTCAAGCAAGATTTTGTAGTAAAAAATTAACATTGAGAGTTACATTGCGTGGCTTTGAAATATAAGATTTAAGAAAATGAACCTTTAATTGTAGAAATTAATAAAGTTAAAGCATTTATGTAGGGGCGAGATAAGTTTGAAGTAAATTTGTGAATTTAAAAGAATTTATGTTGGTGTCATTGTAGTATGAAAATGTCAAAGGAAATTCCTGTCCAACCCCGGTTACATTAAAGATTCAATTTTTTTGTTGTCTCATTTTTGTTTTGTTTTGTTGTTTCTTTATTTTCGCCCCTAGTTTATATAGCTAATTAGAGGTTCAATTTCCTCTTGAAAAAATATGCTTTCCCACTGTATAGTCACATGACATATTAAAAGAAACAAATAACATAAAAAATATCTTAAGGCTTATCAGAACAAAAAAAAAGAAAGAAAAGAAATGAGACATTTCATAAATTTTTGGAACAATTGTACCAAAATCTTCATGGATAAGTAATTAATATTGCAACGGCGATAAATGATTTAGGTTTAGGTTTCAATAACTTCTCTTTCACAAGCATTAGATGAATCCATTAACCATTAAAAGATGAAAGCTACTTTTTTTAAATCCTTCCAAAAAAAAAAAAAACTTTTGTTACGCTTCGGAAGGGGAAAAAAAAGGATTTGATTCGAAAGGCTTTGTTTTAGAACATGAAAATATATATATATATATATATATAATTCAGAACTTCCCCTAGAAAATATTAAGGAGAAGAAAATTGTAAGGTGGTATCGAACCATCTTGGATGATGGTTGTTACTTGTAATTGTAAACTTAAAAGCTATATGGGAAATGACGAAAAAGGGGGAAAACAAGGATTAGGGAGAGAGAGAGCATTGTTGGTGTTGCAGTCCTAGAAATCTTGTTACAATTTTGTTGGAGTCAAAAAGGCATTGCCAACGTTGCTTGGTGGGCTTTGTTTTCCATAATCCAATCTGCGGTGTGGAGCCCAATGAGATTACTATTTTCCAGGTTCTTACAACTTACAACCTCACATTCAATCTTTTATAGCAGTAATAATAATTCCCCCTATAAATGCATGCTTCTACCCCATATTTAATAAGCTACCATGCCATAATTTGATCATCAGTATGTCACGCAAGGTGGGAAACATATGAGATTCCTTTGAAAAAAAAATGATAAATCATGATAGCAGTAATTGATGGGTGACATGCTCCACACCTTCCTTCCAAGAAAGGTTAACAGAAAACTAGGCCGGCCCAATTCCACTACAACAATTTGAAGTGGCCTACTAGATGATGGGCATGGGAAAGAAAAGGACAATTGATAAGCCGAAAACAACAAAAAAAAGAACCCAATTACTGCCTATCAAACTACATTTGAAATATCTTACATGGGTGTCGTTAATAGTTTTTACCTACTTTGCCACCCACTTTCATAGAAATATATATGCCAACATAATGATATACTTGATATAACTTTCTCTGCCAAATATATTGACTAATTGCAATAATAGGACCCCCCATGGACTATATTGTCCACAACCATAAAGCATGTTAAATTGATAATAATAATAATATAGCATGTAGTGGTTCACAGGAAATTGGCACCTGAATCTTTAACCCGTGCACCCAAGTATAGTGAGGAATTCATTTCAGTTGTAATTCTGATGCCTCTCTTCAAGGTTTATCCTGAGTATCCAAACTGATTCTATGGACTTCAAGAACCAACAAGACCTTTGTGCCTCGCGTACGACATTATTGATGTGAAAGTCGAAGTACATAGTATTCCGGTGAGGATGACCACCTGAGTTAAAAAGCATCTTTTCATGATTAAAATTCTCAACAAATTTATGCAAAAGTCAATACATTAGGGAAAAAGAAAAACAAAAACTATAGGTCAAATTTACTCAGTAAAGTAGTAGTTTCCTTCTGGTATATACAGTGGTGATCACACGAGACATACCCATTTAAACATGTATCCGTGGCCCACTTTCCATGTATAGGGAATATTCATTCCAAAGATTGCAGCAACTAAAGAATATATAGACAAACAAACAGTCCCAGAACTTAGGAAGAGCTCTAGCTGCCACGTACGGTGAAAACCCATCAATATGAATCATGCAGATAAATTCTGAAATGCTCTATCTCGAAACCAAATTTAGGCCACTGAACAATAACAGAGAAAAGGGTTTGGAGGCTAAATTTACAGAAGCACCTGAATTAGCTGATTGCGATGATTGTCAAGCTGCAAGACAATTAATGCATTTAGATTAGCGAGATGTCATACTAGGTCCCGATACTTGAAGGTGTGAAATTGCTTTGGAGAATTTTGATAACTACAGTAAACTTCCGAGCTTCAGGTTTAAAGCAAGATTGTCAAGTAAATGGGACATTCAGAGATATCCCTAAACCATCAAAACCCTCCTTCAGCAATTTTTCCACCTTAGTCTTGTTTTCAAGATAAATTTCTTACTGATCACCTGGATATTGATATAATCCTCCGTGTCATCGATGTACTCACGCAGCTGGTAAGACAAAAATAATTATGCAACGATAACCATGGAATTAGAGCAGAAGTTAATGAGAAAAGTAAGGAGCATACGGTGGTCAATTTGTTCAATGTACTATCAATTTGCATAAAGTAAGCCTGCAGAATCCAGAAACAAACTTAATCTTTTGCTTTACATTAACTAATCAAAACCCATTACAGGTAATGACATCGATAACCTCAAGCAACATTTCAAGCTCCTCAACATCATTGTCCTCCGGAACTGTCACTGCACTTGCCCGACTTGTTCTTGATATCTTTGAACCTATAATTGGTGAGGATAGATACCAATTGGGAGCACCAGAACTGCTGACAGGTGAACATGCCCCAGCCAACTTTCTTGATAAATAAAGGTCTGCCATATCATCATCATCATCTAAAAGTTGTTCAAGTTCGTCCCTTACCTAAAAATCAGAATGCTCATAAAGAATAAGTCTGAATTCACAAGTAGAGATCTGTTCATCTACGTTATTCTTCAGTCATTCATACAAAAGGATTTGGCAATATATGTAGCAGTCATATAAGATATAAAACTGAATTTTGAGGACATGAGATCTTTAGCATTCCATATGACCGGTATCCTAGATTACATGAGATCAATTAGAAAACAATCAAATTTGGTTAACCTTCAAAGGGAAAGACTGGTAGCAAAATCAGATTACTTGGACCAACTCATGGAACAGAGAAACCTGTCCCCAGAACACCTGCCATTAGCTTCCTTCATTTTCTTAAAGAGTCAGGTTTTCCTGTGAATTAGCATGTATCTGGGCTATTCATCTTTTAAAGGGGAAAGAAGAAAATTAAAGATAGTGGAAACAATGGCAGTAAAGAATTATGCCAGCTTTAAACCCATGATATCTTTGTTTTGGCCACAAATCTTAACCCTTGCCTTTAGATGTGTTCATGCACTTTCAGCCACACAGTGAAAACGGATGTGAGGAGAAAAAAATTCTAAATTCCAAGAAAATTACAAAGCCAACATAGAGAAATAAAATAGTACTACCAGACTACTAATACATATCAATATTCAGTTCACATGAGTGTTTTAAATTTAAGTTTTCATTCTGGAAATCAGCAGGGCCATTCTACACAATTCATCAGCTAGAAAAATCTCCCATAATTCTAAAAAAAAGTATTTAAGCCTATTAGGGATTTATGCATGTATGATATATATATATATATATATATATATATATATATCAGAAGTCATCTGGTCACTGAAAAGCTGTAAGCAGCTCAAAGTATTCTAGCATTGGGCCAAACCAAAACTGAGAAAGAAAGGATTCACCCACCAAGAGAAACAGAAATTTCACTGATATGCTTGGATTTGAGAATCCTACACATAGTATTATAGTAACATACCTTTTGAACCCGATTTGTCAGCCTTGTCATAGCACTTTTCAATTTACGCACCCGGTCCAAGTTACGACTGCTAATCTGAACATAATTAGTAAATTAAAATTTTTGCATATGGTCAAACTTGTCATACATGCAAACCAAGTAAATAATGGAACAGAAACTCTTTACTAGTAATGAATATTAAAGATCACAAAGCCGATGAAACGCTATAATATGGATAGCCCTATTTCAATGTTATATACAAATGACTATTAAATAACTGATCTCAGTGGACAACGTTTTATCATATGCCATAAGATCTTTTCTTCAAAATTCTGGGTATTACAGGAAAAATCAGAGAACAGTACATATTTTCCAGTTCTATGTATACCATTTATATTTCATTGCACTGCATGGATTTCTCCAATAATTTGGAGTTTATAGAGCACAGGTCGCATGAACTAATTCATAACAAAGAAGAGGAAAGGATGCCTCCAATATTAAAATGTTTTATGGGCCCTCAAAGAGTAGCTTGTCTTCATGACTTCTTAACATGCCTTTCCTTGCATTTGGTACTAGTCATATAAACAGCTATATAATGGAAGATCACCCTAGGAACTAGAGCCAAACACTGACGACCGGTTTAACTTTGCACTGAAATCAGAAGCATATATTGTGAAACAGGAACCTTAGATATCTTCATAGCCTTTAACCTAGATTTTCTTTCTCCCATTTAGCCTCATAATTTCAATGCAAACTGCTTAGCTATCACCACGGAAAGTGGTCACTGTCATTACCAAGTCAAGTTTGGCAGAAGAAACAATAGAGCATTTGCAATGACTAAACAATATGTGCAGTAAAATGGCAGAATTTCAAATTCTGCCGTAGAACTATCACAAATACCGAAGTAGCCAATGAATGCTTTGACTTAGTTACAACCTGACTTCAATCTGGAATTTCCATATTGCAGAAAAAGGTTGAAGTATTTTTTTTATGGTTGTATGCACTTAATGTGATTGTGAGTTTAATCCTTTCATCACTTTCACAAAGAACAGGCATAACAAATACTAACACGATTACATTTGCCAGAAGTGAGAAGGTATTTAATAGACAAAACAAAGGTTGCAATACATTGAGAGCCAATATTTGACTCTATATGTTGCACCAAAGCCAAATATTAGCTTCAAATGAAATATTTGAAAGAATCATGCCAGCAACAATCTCGTCCATTCAACCAGATGGCTTAAGCAAAATTCAAGGACAAACAATACAGAGAGAAAATACCTTGGAGGTCAGTTCATCTAAAGCTGGATAAGTATCAGTCTCCAGTTCCCTAGTACGCGCATCAAGAAAGCTACAAATTGCTTCTAATGCAACTTCTAATGCACGGAATTCAAATGGAAATTCTACATGAAACATGGCAAAACCACCAAGATATCAATGGTATTGACATAGACTGATACAAAACCCAACAAATTAAGTAATTTCAACCAAAAGTTCCTCTTACCATTTTCTTCCCCAGTATCCATATCATTGCGCATACCAGGGTGTTCTTCTTCTTCTCCTTGGCCTTGACATGTGAGATCATCTTGAGGCAATCGCCTTTTAAGTTCCGCAACAATGGGGATTACATTATCATCAAATGGATCTCTAAGCAATACCTATCACAAAATAAAACACAACTTACATCCAAACCCAAAACCCAACTCAATTCAAATAAATAAATAATACTACACTAATTAGCCAAAACAGAACAAAATTATACTATTTTAAAGTTGATTAAAATGTTCAAATTTTACAAACTAACCTCTTCTGCTGTGATTATAGCTTTAATGTGCTGCAATCAAATCATTAGAAAATATAGTAAAATCAGCTTCAGGAAACATTTAAACGAAACAATATAAAATGGAAGAAAAGATAAAAATAAAAATTACCTCTAAATTGAGAACAATGACTTTTTCTCTGCCTAAAATGGTGGAAGGATATGACAACATAGGATCAAGAATACGAAGATCTCTAGCATGAATCTGAACGCGGCGCATTATAGCATACTTGTCTACGTCAAGAATCACGCCTTGCCCCTTTCCATCTATAGAAATCCAGCTCGTTGTCACCGCCGTTTTCTTCTTCAGCGAAGCCACTTGCGTCTCCACCACCGGAACCGAATACACTTCTCGTGCCATTCAAAAAAGAAAAACAGAGAATTAAATCTTTGAACACATAAAATATGAGGCTTGGGAAGTTTTATTGAGTTTCGAGGAGAGAAAAGGGAGCGCTAGGGCTTATGAAGGAGAGAGAGGTGGGGTAGCGGATAGAGAAATTAGGGAGAGACATGAGGGTGGGGCTGGGGCTGGCTGGTAGTGGAAACGTTTCAGTACTGACGAGAGGGTTAAAAAAATGGAGGGCAATAGGTTTTAAACAGATAAGTTTACTTGTTCTTATTCGCATCATTTGGCGCGTGCTCCAACGGTCTTTGTTTTCTTCTTTCTTTTCCTTTTTTTTTTTCGACTCTTTCATTTTCATTATTATGTCATTTTACACCGAGTTAACGACTCCACCAATAAATAATAAATAATAATGAAATTACCTTTGAATTTTGAATACGCGAGAAAATGAAAATTAATATCATTGAAAAAAATAATTGTATAACAAATCATATTAACTGTAATATAATTTATTGGAATAAAAATATAAAAAAAATTTAACATAAATTATTAGTATATAAATATTGTGAACATGATTTTAAATCTTATATATGTGCTTTATACAATCTTACAAATATAATATATTTATACTAATCATTTAAATAAACAAAATATGATATAAATTATAATCTTTTGTTATTAATATTTGAATTCAATTTTAAAAATGAATAATTTGATAACATAAATATTAATTTTTTTATATTAAAAATATTTTGTATGCATGCTAGCTATTAATGAAAATAAATATAAAAATAAAAATTATATCAACTATGGCTACAAACATATTTATGAGATAAGTTATGTAGTCTATAAATTATTATTTTTAATATATTTAATTTAAGTTTTTATTTTTATTAGAGCTATCATTATTGATAGATAAAGTATAATTATATTAATATTCACATATATTAAAATTTATAAATTAATATAATATTTAAAAAAATGATAAATAAACTTTTTCATAAATTAGAGTTTGTTGAAATAAAAAAAGATGCCCATGTAAACCCGCTGCAACTCGTAAGCAAAATGCTAATTTTTCTTAAAATAGTATCGTAAATTTTTAAATATCCTTAATCAATGTCTAGTTGTTTATAAACGCTTATTAACCAAACTCATAAAAAAGGCATTTCTTACCAACCTGTAATCTAACACACTCAACGATAAATATCCAGTTAAGACATAAACCCAACGTGATTGCGAAACTAAACAGCATCGTTAACTTTAATTATTATTATTATTATTTGGGTACAAAATTAATGTGACTTCGTTCAATAAAAAGACAAATCTGTAGGCCCGTCGACTTGATTGTGCAGAAAGTAAGTGGGAAATGCAAGTTTGCTCGCCGCCTTCCTAATTCCTAATTATTGGCATTTGGTAATAGCCACTAAGCAATGGTCGTACAATTTGAGAAATGGAGATAAACTTAGGCTTATCCAAAAATGATTTTTAAAAAATAATTATTATATTTTTAAGTCTTTATTTTATGAAAAATTAATTAATTAATAAAAAATGAGGTTATTTTATTTAAAGCTATGTTATGAATTTAAAAAATAAGATATTTTTTTCAAATTATCTATTAGTATAATTATTTATCAATATTTATTAACATAATTTTATTTATAAATAATATTATATTAATAATATATTATTAATATAATATATTCATAAATAATATAATATATTCATAAATAATATAAAGAATAATAAATAGTTTTATTTTAAGTATTTTTATATTAACATAATATTTTAATACAAAATATTATTATTAAAATATAATTATTTTTAATATTAATAATTTTAATAATAAATATATTTTAATATTTTAATAGTTATATTAATATTATTTGAAAAAAACCAATTTAAAAAAAAACAACCAAACAATAAAAAAAAATTTTTATTAATTCATTCAAATAACAAAAAATCTCTTGAATGTAAATATTTTTTAAAAATTATTTTTACAAAACAAATGAAGCCCTAACTCATTGCTTTCTTTAACCATTGGACATTCCCTTTACGAACTTCATTTGAAAATGATATCTGATTTCAAAATTGTACCCAAAAGTTATACAATTTGTGACTTCGTTTATCATTAACTTGTTTATGTGCTGTAAGTAAATATATGGTCTAAGGTAAACACATATTTGGAGTATAGTTGGATTGATATTAATTTCAGCCTAACTTTATCTAAAAAACAATAATTGCGCCTATATTTTATTATATGTTATTGATTATTTTAAATATAAAATTTTTTTACGAGATTTATGGTAAATTTATTTTAAAAAACTCAAGATAAAATTATGACTTTATTTTTCTAATTATAATTTTTATATAAATGTAATGCAATAATAATGATATTTTAAAATCTCTGCAAAATTATTTGTTAGGTAATAAAAAAATTACTCCTTTTGTTAGATTGATCATAAAATAATAGAATAATTTATTAATGGCACATGTTTAGACAGCAATTTGAAGTATCAAACAAAATGATCCTAAAGATCTGAGATGAACATCGTACGCACCAATGACTTTTTTTATGACTTAAAAAATTCATACGCAACATGTACTCTACTCAATTCATATTTAGGAGCTTCAAAAGTTTTAAGTTAGTTCAAATTTAAATAACTAAAATTGATTCAAATGCGAGGCAATATGCAAGACTCAATTTGAAGTAGGTTTAGATAAAAGATTTAAAATTTAAAATTGATTAAAAAAATTTAAAAGTTGTAAAAATGTATTTATTTAATTTTTAAATAGTAATAAATTTTAATATATATTAAAAAGTCAAATCGACTGAGCTTGACATGTTGATACTGGCAAAAAGAAACCTTAACATATTGGACCGAACCTTGGATTAGATTTAACCCGACCCAATCAACCCATAAACAAGTTTACCTTAGGAAACAAAATCGATCCATAATAATAAAATAGATTTATTACAGTTTTCCTTCTCAAAGCCGAGAGAGTTTGTTGACCTTCTATCATTAATGGATGGAAGACTAGAGCCACTGAGCCACACCAATTTCATTTAATCACTCCTTTGTCGGTGCACGTGGCACATTTTCAAAATATTATATTATTACAAAGGACAAAAGGTGGTAACATGCTGTGATGGTTAAAACACCAACTTCAAAAAAATAAAATACTACTGCATAAATTATAAATTTGGAAGCAGTAATATGATTTATCTATATTCAGTAATTAAAAATTTTAATTTTAATTTAATTTAATTTTTAATGTCTAAAATTCAAGTTCAAATTATGAGATGATGAAAAATAATATTTACCATTCTAAAAATACATAAATCAAATGACTGCTGTGAATTTAGTACTAACATTTTTTAGAAAAAAACGCAAAAGATAAGTAAATAATTTCCAGGTGGATTTATGCTATTTTATTTTGTTTTCTTTGTGTGTATGGCTTAGCTCGACAATGACACGGTGACACAGTTTCCCCGCAGACACGAACCCACAAAATCGCGAGCGATAGCTGACTACTACAAGTAAAAGACCATCTCAATCTCATATTTTCACTAAGATCGACGGTCAATATCTTTCGTCCTTATCATTAACCAATGGATGAGGCACAACCACTCTCTCACCTTTCTCGCGATTCAAATTTCTTGTACAGAAGTTCAAAACCGAAGGCCAACGACAAAAATCCAGAATTCCAGATCAGATAACATTAAATTTATTTTTGATAATAGAAAATTTATTTTTGAAACGTAAAAAAAAAAAAAAATGCAAAGGAAAAGAATTAAAAAAGGGAAAGTCTCCTCCCCTATCCCAGACCCGAAACGTGAAAGAAGCTCCAAAACTACCATTCTCCATCTGGAAAGAGCGGCAGCCCTTCCCCCCAACAAAAAGAAAGAAACTAGAAACCCTAGTTTTTCATTTTTCTTTAACTCCTGTTCATTGTAACTGAAGCATCGAATCGGTGCCGTTTTGAATATGTGAAATGTGCTTTTTGGAGAACGATTAGAAGAGCAAAAGGAAACTCAACAAGCGAAGGGTTCTGTTGCGAGTTTTGTTTTCCTTTTTTTTATTGATTGATGAAGAAACATCGTCGATGGCAGAGGATTCTGATCCTCTCTTTGCTCTCTTTCTCTGTATTTGCTCCAATCGTGTTGGTCTCACCGAGACTCAAAACCCTCACTTTCATCGGTAATCTTCTTCGAATCTGTAGGTTATTTATGGTCAAATATTTTTTATGAAAATCCAAATGCTTTTACCGTTAATGAAGTGGTTGATCAGACAAGAAAGCCAATGAGGATGACTTAGCAGTATTTCATATTTTAGGTTACAGAAGAAATTGTTTGATTTTAAGCTAAGATAAATTGCCGAATCGAATGTAATTTTTTTCAAACAGAAAACTTTCATATGTTTTTTTTTTTGGCCTTTTCTGATTTGATTTCCTCTTTTATTTAATTTAATTTTTCGGATGTTGACTGATCTTGTTTTGTTTGCATTTGTGATTCTGTCACCGCAGGCCGGAACGATTTTATGGACGATTTGGCCAGTATTGTATGGATCTCTCTTCCTTGGATCTGTTGTAGTTTTTTTCTTTTTGTAGATTTCTAATGGCTTTTTTTGCTTTGTTTGAAGCAGAACTATATGTCAGAGGATTTAAGACTTAATGCAATTGAACAGGTAGTTTTAAGATTTATGGATTTAGTGTATTTTGCTTTGAACGTTTTATCTTGAAGTGTTTTTGACAGTTTATGCATGTCCATCTTTGTTGCTTTGTCATTTAGGAAGCTGCCAAAGAATTAAAAGGTCCAAAACTAGTTGTTTTGAAAGAGAAGAATTTTAGTTCTGTAGTTAGTCACAGTTCTGATGAGAATCGTAATGTGGATCAATCTGGGGATGCACAAGATGCTTCTAAATCGTTAGAAGCAAATGGTTAGTATTACTTGGGTGCATGTTGTGTCATCATTGACTTTTAATTTATTGAGTTAAATTTGACTCTGAGTTGCTCCACTTTCTAGATTCAGAAACTAATTATAAAGGAAAAGACAAACATCAAATTCAGCAGAATATAATACAGATGAACTCCAGGGAAAAGGTTTGTATTTATCTGAATTATGATGAATGCTGTACATTTGAATGTAAGTTTTACACTAGATGGTTGCAGTGATGTATGCTATTAATCTTGTGAGGGAAAGCAGATGTTGGTACTGTAGCTTTCTTATTCTTTTTGAATCTAGAGGAATAGGAGAGAATTTGGTTTGCTGACATTAAATAGTTGAGGTAAAACTGAGCTGGTATTGAAATTATACATGCCTTTAAAATTTCAACGGACCATCTTCTATCAATTTGTGTCACAATCACCTTTCCATGATATTTTAATTTGCTTCCCACTAAATTTAGTTTGTGCCTTTGTGCCTCTGTTTTTAATTCACAAACTAGTGAAGCAATGTCTCATCTTAAAATCTGAGCAATACCAGAATACAGTATGAGAATAAGAAATCCATAGTTCTGGGTTTTTTACCATAATTTATTCTTTAATATTGTCATCACAATATGAAATTTTTTTTTGGGGGGGGTGTTGGTTGTTTGCCAGAATGGTCAGAGCTAGAGCAAATCATGTTAGTTTTAATATATTTGTAATATATAGTTAACACTAATTTATTTGTTGCAGGAGCAATCCAATCAAGGAACAGGTAGACATGATCCACGTTTGCGTTCTCAATCACGCAGGGTAACGGATGCAAAGGTAAAGCAGATGAGAGATCAGCTCATTAGAGCAAAAGCGTACTTAAGTTTTGCACCGCCAGGTAGTAACTCTCACTTGGTGAAAGAGTTGCGAACAAGAATCAAAGAGGTTGAACGAGCAGTCGGTGAAGCCAGCAAGGATTCTGATTTGTCAAGGAGGTAAAAAATTGACAAATTTTTTGCTTTGATAATGATTTTTCCAATGCTTTTTATATTCAGTAATAATGATTTAGGGATGAATTGCTTCCACTTTATATCTGAAGAACAGTTGAATTTTTAGTGCTTCACAGAGAATGAGATCTATGGAGGTTTCATTGGCCAAAGCGAATTATGTATTCCCAGACTGCTCTGCGATGGCCGCAAAACTTCGTGCCATGGCTTATAATATTGAAGAACAGGTTCACGCACAGAAGAATCAAGAGTCGTATCTCATTCAACTTGCTGGAAGGACTACCCCTAAAAGCCTTCACTGCCTCTCCATGCGGCTGACAGCTGAATATTTTTTCCTTCAACCTGAGGAAAGGCAGTTACCTCACCAAAAAAATTTGAATGATCCAGACCTTTATCACTATGCCGTATTCTCTGACAATGTTCTAGCTTGTGCAGTGGTTGTTAAATCCACAATTTCCTCTGCAAAGGTAAACTTCCTTCGCCAATTTTATGTCCTTTATTTTGTTGTTTTATCATTTTTCATTAATTTCAGTCTCTGCTTATTTTGTGATGTTAAACATGGTTGTGCTTATTCAAAGTTTTTGTCATTATAAGTAATTTCATAACAAAATCGTGTGTGTTAAATCATGCGAGGATGCTTTGTGGTTTTACATTACTGGACAACAGTTGATACACTTGTTATTTATAATGAATAATAATGGTTTGAATTTTGGTGGCATAAGCTTTCCAAAGTTGCCATGGAGTTCTTTCCCCTTTGCCTCTCTACCATAAGTTTATCCCTATCTTGCCATCAGATCAATTTCCCTTAAAATGATAAAACTCATCTGTCATTGCTCCTCCTTTGATGAGTTAGCTACATTTAGTTCAGGATTGGGCCAGTGATTTACCTGTTAGTTGATGTAATATATCCTGATAATTAATTTTGGTATGCAGGAGCCAGAGAAAATTGTTTTTCATGTGGTGACCGATTCTCTCAACCTCCCAGCAATTTCTATGTGGTTTTTATTAAATCCTCCTGGCAAAGCTACAATTCATATTCAGAGCATAGAAAGTTTTGATTGGTTGTCCACCAAGTATAATTCAACATTGAAGGAACAAAAGTCCTATGATCCAAGATATACTTCAGCCCTTAACCATCTTCGGTTCTATCTGCCAGATGTCTTTCCAGCACTGAATAAGATTGTGCTCTTTGATCATGATGTGGTAGTGCAAAGAGATTTAACTGGAATTTGGAGTGTTGACATGAAGGGGAAAGTAAATGCAGCAGTGGAGACTTGTCTGGAAAGTGAAGCTTCGTTTCATGCAATGCATATGTTTATGAACTTTTCAGACCCATTTTTGGCTAAGAGGTTTAATGCTAATTTTTGCACATGGGCATTTGGCATGAACTTGTTTGATCTCCAAGAATGGAGAAGAAAAAATTTAACCACACTTTACCGAAATTACTTGCAACTGGTATGGGCTTATACTTTCCTTTCTTTGTATTTGCTTTTGCTCCATGCTAAAATAATATGCTTGTGAATTTGATTCTATTGTTCTCTGAAGCTGCAAGTCAATTCCTTGAAAAGATGGTTAATGTAATCCGGTCCCTTAGCTTTTCTTTGTCAATAGGAATTTGTTATCTGTCTAAATTTTCAATATGGATCACCTTTCTTACCCCTTTCCCTCTATTTCCTCCAGAGGGTTCTCTTTCTGTTAAAAAGAGTAGCTTTGTCTTAGTGTGACCTGTGAATGATATACAAACAAAAACTTGTACGGGTTAGTTGGAACTTATACAACTGTAAAAGACAGAATCATCTAGTTAAGGTGTATTCATACTAGTTTCTATTTGTTGTATTTTGCATGCTGTATATCTGATTCTAAAATGATTTAATTTTACTTTATATATATTTCAAATTTGAAGTTCTGGAGATAAATTTTCATGAAGGTGAAACTTGTGCCCTGTGCATCACGAGTTTGACAACAATTGTTTGCTTCTGGATGTGTCTATAACAAATTTTTCAATTGATATTGTTGTTTGTTTTCTTTTTTAATGCTGTGTTCTATTCTGATGAATATATATAAGAACGCTAATTCAAAGCTGGTTGCCAAGATTTATTGTGAATTCTTCGTGCATTTAAGTTATAACTGTGTGTTCATAGTAGGTATCTAACCTATTGCATGCTGTGTTTCTCATGCTTGTTTGCCTGGTGTAATGTTACAGGGACTTAAGAGGTCATTTTGGAAGGCAGGAAGCTTGCCCTTAGGTTGGATTACATTCTACAACCAGACTGTGGCTTTAGAAAAGAGATGGCATGCACTTGGGCTAGGTCATAACTCAGGTCTTGGTCAAGGTGATATTGAGAATGCGGCAGTTATACACTATGATGGAGTCATGAAACCCTGGTTGGAAATAGGGATTGCTAAATATAAGAGCTATTGGAGCAAACATGTGCAGTATGACCACCCATACTTGCAACGGTGCAATATCCATGAGTAATCAAAGATCACAGCATACACAAGTGGAATTCTTTGATTCATAACACATTACTGGTTGCATCTCTCATAAACTGCTCCGATTGATCTGATTCTTTTAACAATCTTTCATGTAAATTTTCAACTTATTTTTTCCCATAATGTTCGGCAGTAATCATTTAGGGGTTGAGTCAATTTATGGCAATAACCAAAGGTAATAAGTTTCTGTAGGGACACAGCATTGCAGGGATACATTTGTACATAACTGATATCACAATTCCACTAGGTTCAAGCATAGATTCTATATATTAAATTGGAAGCATATAAACCTTTTATTCATAGGATGGTTTATCATGGAGATTTTTCAATTCCTGCCGCAGGATGCCCAGAGGTTGTGGCCTTTGTTCTTAATTCTGAGGACGTCTCTTTCATCATACCTCTCATGGCCATTTTATTAAAATGTAGTTGTAGTTTCTGAATCTCCGTCTCTGTCGTCGTTCCTGGCATGGATAGCCGTTTGCTGAACCGCGATAAGCTTACTAAAAGGATGACGGGCTTTTTTCCCCTCCAAGATGCTCCATGCTGTACAATTCAAGGATACGTAAGTAATGCGCTATCCTGAGGACAGTCTAATAGGACTGATAAAGGCCCTTAACAACTCGGACAACGAGCGAGGGCTAAGTTTAGGCCAGGGCCCGTTAACTATTTCTTGTTATAACCATAAAACAATTAAATACTCCTAGATCAATCTTTGTTTGTAGAAGGATTATATGACACGTGGAAGAAATTGGTTGGCCCTATATAGATAGGGGATATCAAACGAAGGGCTAGCTATCAGTATGGTGTGATTCTGGACCAACGGTATTAATCTGTAAATTGTTTACAGAGTATATGAAATAAACTAGTACCCTTTGGATCCAACTGCCATTGTAGCAAAATCACTCTGCTTTAGCTATTCTCTCTTTTTCCCAGTCGAAGGAATATGGCAACAATCTCTGCTAGCACCCCTACCTCATCAATCACCCGTGCAGCTCTTGTACACAAGGCATCACCAAGGGTTGCATCCCCAGTTGCCATTGGTAAGTTTCTAGGATTTTTTTTTTCTTTCAATTTGTCTAAAAAGTAAAGGGCCATTTGCATTTTCATCTCAAACGCAAATTTTAATTCCAGGTTTGCCGACAATGGCAAAGAAAGGGAAAGTGATGTGTTCCATGAAGAATAAGCCTTCTACACAGGAGAATGGCTCAAACATGAGCATGAGTGCATCGTTGCTGGCAGCAGCCTGTGCAGCTACCATGTCAAGCCCAGCCATGGCTCTGGTGGACGATAGAATGACCACTGAAGGAACAGGACTTCCTATTGGTTTGAGCAACAACCTTCTTGGCTGGATCCTGTTTGGTGTATTCGGCCTGATTTGGGCACTTTACTTTATTTACACTTCCTCCCTCGAAGAGGACGAGGAGTCTGGATTGTCGCTCTAAGCCGAACCTTACTTCCTTCTGGTGTTGTTCATTGCAAATATCACGGTCAAAGGAATGTAGAAAATCAAAAGAGTTTGGCTTTACTATCTTCTTGTAAAACTATCTTCTCCATGTCCAATGTGCATTCTTATAATATTTTTTGGACAAATGCTTCTCTTCATAAATTTTCTGACTTCCGCCTCAATCTCCATTGTTTCTTCATTGATGTTCGATTTGGTTAACATGAACATGGATATAGGAGAGAACAACTGAGAATTTGTGGGCTGGCAATCTATCCTGGCATATTTCATCCATTGGTGCCTTTGCATTTTAGCTACTGATGGTGCAGCCAGATCAATCAATTTATTTAGGCAAGAAAAGAGGATTTTTTACTCTCTTCTACAATTCCTGACTGGAATTGGAACTCTTGAAATTGGACCAGTGCCCCAAGTTTAGAGACATAAAGTACGTGACTTAGCTACTTCTTCTATTTACCTTATCTAGTGGTTCTAGAGCAAGAGATCAAGAACGTGTGAGCAACTCACACCACATTTGGAGGTGCTTTTGGTGTTTTGCCACCAAATAATCTTTAATTGATGTGTCAATATCAACCATATTTGATTTTCACCAAAAAGTTTTATCTCTGCTGCATCTATAAATGGTTTTCTAATTTAATTGCAAATGCTACAAGTAGAGCCGCGAACTTAAAACAAGTCGAGTCATCAATCATCATCAATCTTTATAAATATTAACTTTATGCCAACAGGATTGGTTCGAAGATTGATTGACTTAGTAAAATTGAATATTTAATTTATGAACTTTAAAATTTTTTATTGTCTGTAATCTTTTTTTTTTTTTTATAGGTGATTAGTAAGTTCAATGTAAATTTTGTAAATTTTTGTTGAAGTTTATGTATGTTTTCATTCAGCAATGAAATAGTTTTCTTTCATTTAATTTTTTTTAATTATTTCATTTAAAATTTTAATTATAAAAAAATACCTTCAACACATTTTTGACGAAAATTTTAAATATTAAAACAATTATAATTAGGGATGATGGATTTAATCGTGAGTATTATTCTATTATAAAATCATAAAAGGTAATGTTTTGAAAATTTAAACATATATATTTAAATTATAAACATATTCCATTATTTAATTTTTGAAAATAAAACAATTAATAATTTCAAAAAATGATTAAATTGGATTTGCTATGATTACATTATCCTATTAATTCCAAAAAAAAAAAAAGGGAAGCTACATTCTCACTAAAACAATCGTTGGGTTTAATACTCGACAATGATTGATATCCACGATCACAATCCACAACCCTATGGCCCTATCTGAAACTCTTATTTCAAATCCTCTCACTTCTGGCCCATATTAAAACTCAGGCTCAAATCTCATGAAAAACCTACTTTCGCTTTTGTCTTTTACTTCTGAACTTCCCACTAAACGGCCTTCTCTAGTTCTCTACTTTTTTCGCTCGCTTTGTCTTTTGTTTGTCGGACGATCACGAAGCTTTTCCTTCTCAGTACTTCTCTTGCCAACAGCGCCCAATCTTCAGCACCGAACGGCGCCTTCTCTTTTGTTTATCGATCCGTACGTTCGGTTTCATTGTTTTTTTCTTTTCTTTGAAGTTTTGGAAACTTTTTTTTCCACTTTATTGCATATCACATATTCGTAATAATGCCTCAAAGTAGTTTTTATTTGTTGACAGTTGCTTTTCATTTGATTCTCATATACTTGAAATCTTAAAACTTTAAAAACTGCCACAGGCAATGTTCTATCTAAGCTTAATCGAGCATACGTTGCGGTTACCACCTCATCTTCTTCACCTTCCTCTTGATGAGGCTATTAAGATGGAGTTGGAAACCCTTTTCTTGGATAAGGTATGTAGTTCCATATCTTCCACATATTTATCAATTGTGTGGTCACTTGTTTTTTCTTAAGTATTTTTGTTGAACCACGCTTTGATAATGATTGATGATGTTTGTAAATTGTAATGTAGGTTATTGCAAAATTGGGACTCTGTATTTCAGTATATGATATCAGGTCAATTAAAGGTGGCTTTATCTTTCCTGGGGATGGTGCTTCTACCTATACGGTCAGTTTTTTCTTTTTTTTTTGGTATTAAATTGCTATGAGGAAGACATATCGATCCATTTTCTTGTTTCTCCGCAGCCTCTGAAGTTTGAAAATCTTGTTTTTGCTGTTGTTGTAGGTTGAGTTCAGAATGATTGTGTTTCGTCCATTTGTTGGCGAGATTATTGTTGCAAAACTTAAAGAATCTGATGCTAATGGCTTGCACTGTGAGTCTGGAAGAAAAATACTTGTCTACTTATTTGTTTCTGATTGTTTATTGTAGAGGAACCCAAATTTATGTTTTCCTTTTTCTTTGAATAAATACTGCCGTTTATCATTGTATGTTGAGCCATGATGGCCTTCTGGTTTCAAGATTACATAATAACTAATTCAAATTCGGCTGTAAGTCAACCTGATTTTAATCATATATGATTTGAAGTATACATATTCCACTCATTTACTTGACATAATATTTAGCTTTGTGCTAGATAGTAATTTTGATAGTCAAATTACATCTTGTTTTCTTATTGTGATCAAAGTAAACATAGCCAGGCAAAGGTTCTCTTTAGACCAATTACAAGTATCATCAACCCTTTTATTGTTAAATACCACTTCTTAATATCTACATGGTTCTGTAATTTGCAGTGTCACTTGGATTTTTTGATGACATTTATATACCCGTTCACCTTTTGCCAAGTCCATCTCGCTTTGAATCTTACCCTAATAATAGGTAAGAGCCAGTTGATTGTTTATTCAACTCTGAAGTAACTAGAGGTAGAACTTGCTCACAATTTTCACCCTTGATTTTCCTTATGTCATTTATTATATTGGTATGTATGCGACTGTGCATCTTAATATTTTGAGGATTGCAGAAATCAAGGCAGATGGATATGGGACTTTGGAGAAGCAGAAGAAGCACAGTCCGAAGAACCACGATTTGTTATTGATGGGACAGATCTGGTATGTTTTGTTATATGGTTGCAAATTTTCATAAACTTCTGATATTTACCTTTACACTGAATCCCAATTTTCTTAATCGTAGATTAAATTTCGAGTTCATAGTGTTATTTATCCTTCAATTCCACTTGAACAACCAGAAGATTCGAAACCATTTGCTCCAATGGTGATTACTGTAAGTTCATCTTTCAAATTTGTTTCAGCATTGTCTGTCTGAACCATTTGGTTTTTCATGTTTGGTTTTTCATATAGCTGATCCTAGATTATGGGATATAAGGGTTAATGGGTTTGTTTTTGTTGTTGTATTGTCTGTCTGAGCCATTAGGTCTCTCTCTCTCTGAAGTTTTGCTCCTTGGTTAATATAATGTTAAACTTGTTTCATCATAAATCATAGTGAAGTATATCTTCCATTATGAAAACCAACTTAGCACATGACACAAGATGGAAAGATATTCATTGTCATGTATTAAGGATCTTTTGTTCTTCTTCCTCTCTAAGTCATGAGTTAATCAGACCTTGAATTATTTAAATTTATCCTGATGGATCAATTTTTTGATCCCTCAACTTTAATGAAACATGAATTGTGCCTTGCGGTTTTCTTCTTATTCTTTCCATATTTTCTTCGGTGCCAAAGGTTTAGTTCATACATTGATAAACATGCATAAAAAAGGGTTAACCGTCCCCTCTCCTCTCTCTCCCTAACTTATAGGCTTATGTAATCACTAAAAGTGGAAAATGTTCAGTTCTATGATTAATATCTTTTGTCTAATCGCATTTGTTTCATTGCAGGGATCAATAGACTATGATGGTTTGGGCCCCGTTTCATGGTGGGAGGAAGCAGAAATGGTTCAGGATGAATCTTAAGTTTACAGACTCATTATGTATCCTCAGATATCAGTAAGTGGAAGGACAAAAGAGGCTTTATAGGTCGGAGATGTTACTAGTTACTTCAGAAGGCAGCGGAAATGATCATTTTTCAAAGCTTGCAACAGGCCGCAGCAGTGGCTGTTGTCGTGCTTCGTTCTACAGACCACAGTATGGCCTCCATGTGCTTGGAGATTAATCCACTCAACTCAACCATAAATGCTAACAGCTAAATACAAAGCTTGAAATTGTTGTTTTGTGACAAATTTGGTGATTATCTTTATCTACAGACGTCCTTTGTTTTCACGATAAATTGAATGGGTTGAATGAGATGATGACTGGTGCATTTAATTCTGCCTCATTGAAATAGCTAGACACCATTATTCTAATTTATTCCACTTTAAATTATTGTTCCTAAAAAGAAATTAAGTGGAAAATTTTGGAAGGAAGTTTAGATTTTTGGCCACAAATCACAAATGCGAATTGACAACGCTTGTCTCCACGGCTGCTCATTTTCATTTTCCACCAATGGATATTTGATAGGCGGACCCCACCCGCCCACCACCACCGCCAAGATACCCACGCAACGCTCCAACCAAAGAGGTCAAAGGATAGGCTTTATTTACTCGAAGGCACTGACTTCAACCCAACAAAAAAAGAAAACGGAGATGGCCACCACGTCTTTTACAGCTCCCAAACTCTCTTCGCCAACTCTCCAAACCCTTTACCGAAACCTTCCCGTCTCTGTCCCTTTACCAAAGACCCTGTCTTCTTTTTCACGCTACCTTCCTCCCTCTGCCTCTGGCTTCCACCACTACCACCGGTTGCAGCGTCGCCGCCTCTTCTCTTTTCGTGCCGAGTCCGATAATGGTGCTGAACCGCTGCGACACTACGACTTCGACCTCTTTACTATTGGCGCCGGCAGTGGCGGCGTTCGTGCTTCCCGTTTCGCAGCCAATTTTGGTGCTTCTGTTGCTGTCTGTGAGCTTCCGTTTTCGACTATTTCTTCTGAGACCACCGGCGGCGTTGGCGGAACGTAAGTCTCCACTCCAGAATTATAAAGTGACCTTTTTTATGCGACTCTCTATATCTATAAAGTATTTATTTTGCGGGTAAGGGTTTTTTTTTTTTTAAGAAATTACGATTCTCTGAGGTTATTGCAAATTAAATTATCCACTGAAATTGCGTGTGTTTTTGCAGTTTTTCCTTTTGGGTTGTGAGGCTTTTTTTTGTTCCCTGGGTTTTACTTGAAATTTACAATCTTTAACTTAACTGGATAATTGGCCAAAAAAAGAACTTAAATGGATAAAGTTCTGGTTTTTGACCTTAACTGGTATGCTGAAAGCTTTTGGCTCCGTAAAGGCTAAAACAAATTCAAGAAAGCCTACGAAAATTTAGTTTCACCACTATAATTGTCTCTGTTTTTTGTCTGTTTATTTGAAGTTGTAATAAAAATGTGAGTATGATTGCAGATGTGTACTCAGAGGATGTGTACCAAAGAAATTAATGGTTTATGCATCAAAATATTCTCATGAATTTGATGAGAGTAATGGTTTTGGATGGAAATATGACACCGAACCAAAGCATGATTGGAGCACCTTGATGGCTAATAAAAATGCTGAGTTACAGCGTCTTACTGGTATTTACAAGAATATTCTCAACAATGCTGGTGTCACATTAATTGAAGGCCGAGGAAAGGTGGGTTGATCCTCTCTCCACATTGTCTCTTTATGATATGTGTAGGTGCATTTCTATTTTTAATGGTTCTTGATTGTGAATCCATTTTGATGAAATATCCTGCAGATTGTGGATCCACACACTGTTGATGTAGATGGAAAACTTTACACTGCAAGACATATACTGATTTCAGTTGGTGGGCGTCCATTTATTCCTGAGATACCAGGAAGTGAGTACGTGATAGATTCTGATGCTGCCCTTGATTTGCCCTCAAAACCAGAGAAAGTGGCTATAGTTGGTGGGGGATACATAGCTTTGGAATTTGCTGGCATTTTCAATGGATTGAAAAGTGAGGTCCATGTCTTTATACGTCAGAAAAAAGTTTTGCGGGGCTTTGATGAAGAGGTGAAGAATTGTGCAAACCGATAGCTGTTATACTTGTTTATTTTATCATGTTATAATCACTTGCATGATACTTGTTTTAGAAACTTTTTTATTCTTAGTAAAAATCTGCCCTGTTTATAGATCAGGGATTTTGTTGGAGAACAAATGTCTCTAAGAGGAATTGAGTTCCATACAGAGGAGTCACCTCAGGCAGTTGTTAAGTCAGCTGTTGGTTCACTATCGCTGAAGACCAACAAAGGAACAGTTGAAGGCTTTTCACATATAATGTTTGCAACTGGTCGAAGGCCTAATACAAAGGTTTGGAATAACTTTTGTGACTCAATTCTCTCTATTAAATGTCCTTTTGTAACCAATTACCAGCAAAAGGGTACCACATCAAACATTGTTATAACTGTACTAACGTAAACCTCCCACCTGAGAAACAGGACATAAAATGAAAAAGAGAGGAGAAAAGTTAACAAGCAGAATATCGTAACCTTAATCTTCAAATGTAACCGAACTTCTTGCTTTCCGTGATTCTCTTCTCATTGTGACTTAAGGAACCTTAAATGTTTTGTATCTGGAGGATGTAGATTCTCTCCTTTTAAAGGCAACTTCAATTTTTATTTCAATCAAGATAGATTTGATGAATTTTGTATTGGGTTTAAATTAACTCCTTTTACATTAGCAGAACTTAGGATTGGAGTCAGTGGGGGTGAAAATGAACAAGAATGGAGCAATAGAGGTAGTGTTCTTCTTATCTTGGAGTTTATTTTGCTTCATTTTTCTCTATTTCATATTTTCTGGTATTATTTCTATATTTCAGTTAATTTGTATATCGTTTTGCCTCATTGTTTCTTTAGGTTGATGAATATTCGCGTACTACAGTACCTTCCATTTGGGCTGTAGGGGATGTCACAGATAGAATAAATTTGACACCTGTTTCTTTGATGGAAGGAGGAGCACTAGCAAAAACTCTGTTTCAGAATCAACCAACTAAACCTGATTATAGGTAATCTACACGCTAGAGGTTGATTGATTGAAAAAATTTAAGGGATTAATTAAAATTGGAAAGGTTTATGGCTCTTTTTTTGCCTCTACTAATTACCAGTTGAGGCAGTTGCACCACCTTCCTATTCGAAAAACTATTTTTAGCATCCAGCTACCCTTTAGCTTTTTCCGCTTTACTCTTAGGTGAGTGGCATACTGCATATTACAATTTCAATGGTGTAGATCCGTATTGCCCATTTTTATTATTTTGTCTTCTCTTTCTGAAACCTCCTTTTCAAGTCTCTGTCTTCCTTATCTCTCTTGTTGGTCTCACATATGCCAGGCTTCTTTAACCAATTTCTCTATTTTTTCATGTTTCTTTTTTCACATTGTATCCTTCCAAAACCTTTCACTGCTGGCCAATTATGTTAACATTGTCTTCCTACTTCACAGGTACTTTATTGTTTTGAAGTTCTGTTGTTTAAATTTATTGGATTTTATGTTTGGGGCGGCTGAGCTGCTGAGTAGTGGTTGTGTTTTGGATTTATCTCTATTAGTAGTGCCTTGGAATAACCTGAGTAGAGATATAATAGAGAGAAGCCAGACTCCAATTGTGGTTGTTGTCAAATGACACTTATTAATGATTCATTTTTTATCCTGGACTGAAACCCACTTATAATATGCCATATATTCAAATAAAAGAAGGCATAATATTGTTAATGCATTTTGACTTAATGACCATTCCATGGACAAGTTATATGGTGTACTGTTCTTCTTTTTTATATGATATATGGATGGTTCTGGGATACAAAGAAGTGGATTTTATTTCGTATTCAATTGTTTGTTGACATTTCTTCCCATGCATTTTGGAGTAGGGCTGTACCTTCTGCTGTCTTTTCCCAGCCACCAATTGGACAGGTTGGTCTTACTGAAGAACAGGTGAGAAACTGTTTGGCATATTAGCAACAGCTGAAAGTGGTTTCTTGTGCTCAAAAATTTGAGGATTTTACAGGCTATAAAAGAATATGGTGATCTTGATGTCTACACTGCAAACTTCAGGCCGTTGAAGGCCACTCTCTCTGGGCTTCCTGATCGGGTTTTCATGAAACTTATAGTCTGTGCAAAGACAAACAAAGTTCTTGGTCTGCACATGTGTGGAGAAGATTCAGCTGAAATTGTGCAGGTTCAAGCCTTTACCTAAATTTGTGCTTTCCATTTCAAGTTCTGCAGATTTTTCTGATGTGCACAATTGTATTCCAGGGGTTTGCAGTTGCTGTGAAAGCTGGCTTGACAAAAACAGACTTTGATGCCACTGTAGGTATTCATCCAACATCAGCTGAGGAGTTTGTCACAATGAGGACTCCTACTAGGAAAATACGACAGAGCCCTGAGTCTGAGGTTTGTTGTAGTCTTTTTCAGCCTTCTGCATTGATACTCGTGGTCTAATGTGTTTAATTATCTCTAATCTTGTAACTGAAAACCACTAAAGTCCAACAACATAACTGGATAACTGGCCATTCCTTTACCATACAAGAGAAATTGTTTTTCGACAATGGTTACCTAATTTTTTCCTTGCAGATACTGACCAATTAACTTATTCTGTTAACCAATTGATTTCCAAGCTGCTGTCTGCTGTTATTTTTTGTCTAGAAAAAACTTAATGTTCAAACGGCTTATTTGCTTTGAGTCTATGTTTTCGCAACCTGTGTTTAGAAGCATTTTGATAACTTACTGTAAATCATTTTTCATTTATGCAATCAGTAATGTTATTCCAGTTTCTTTTTCATTGCCCAAACCGAGTGCCATTAATCTTTTTAATATGTCATGCAGGGAAAGACAGGTTTTGAGTCAAAAGCTGCAGCAGGGGTTTAGCGAACAATTTGATTGATTGGTGCACATTGTGGAAGTTCCATTTAAGGTGCAAACAATTAGATATGACTGTTCTTATGACTTGTCCGAAATGATTGTTTACTTGAAGTTCTTATTATTCCTCTCTAACACGAGGAAAACATGGAAAGTACTAAGAGTATTAATGACAAATCTACATAATTGCTAGCTCTTGCTGGATAAATTGGTTCTCTTTAGGGGGTTTCATAGGATAAGTAGAGTTACTTTGCATCTTAGAGACAAACTTTTGGGTAGTGATGCAAAAGAAGCTTGACCATGTAAATTACGTGGCAAACTTTGAAATAAAGTGAAATTACTGTTGTGTTCTTGCTTTAGGCATAACTCTTGCTTACTTACTCCCTCTCTGGGTTTTCGCTCCTTGAACCAGCCTTTCACGTTATCTAATCATCTCGAGCAATTTGGCAGGTTGGGCTACTTCTGGAAGTACATCTTTCGTATAGTTGATGGATATCGGATTTTGACTCGTGATGAATGATATTATCATTTGGAGCAAAGGTGTCCTTTGGGTGTCACTCATGAATGCAAACTACAGGAGATTTTCAAACGAAATGATTTTGCTGTGAATTTGTAGTGTGATTTTACACCTTCAGACAATGGAGGCAGAGAGATTTACTCTTGAGAGCCACAACATAGGATCCCCATTGAAAAAATTTCTCCATTTTGCCCTAAATGATGCACTTTTGCAACTTTCTTTTTCCAGCATACTATATCCCTTCGTTTTTTTTTTTAATTTAAATGATAGTAGTAGTAATCTTTTATTTTCTTTTTTTTATTATTAAGATTCTTTTTATCCAAGTTGAAAGCCATAACAGTATTCAACAATTTTTAATCATTTACATTTGTACTTAGATTGGATCCAGAAAATTAATATCCAGGAATGAGAATTATCGTCTGCATATATGCTTTTTCCTTGTTTATCCCGCATTTCACAAGACTTTAAAAATGAAATGAATACTGTCTGATACTTATCACGGTGGACAACTTAATTGCATATCGGTTGATGTGGTTTACTGTTGATGGGAGGAAAAAAAAATACAACACTGTTCCAATTTCCAATTTCCAATTTCATAGAAGCGCAGGTTGATGATAGTAACGGAGACAGCATAAGGAAACCTCATGTGTGTGTGCTTGTTCCTACGTAAACTCTGTCATCCCAGTGCAAGAGGCCAGAGGGTGAGCCTAAAACTCCAGTTCTGAACTTTTGATCTTTACACAGGTTGCTGTACTGCCATAAATTAGCTTTGGAATCCCACAATAAATGCTTTCATTTACCAATTCCATTGTATGATCTACACATTATTGCCTTGTTAATTACAAGATGATTGACGTCAAATCTAATGCTCGGATGCCAGGCCTAATTGCTTGAGATGGTGGTGCATATCTTCAGGGTGATCGTCAAGTTTCGGCCGTTCAGACTGCATCCACCGCCCATCCTTGTTCCTCACCATGCCCTTGTTCTCATCTTGCCTCCAATATGGTGGAACCAAGTAATGATCTTTCAAAAAGTCAGAAGCCTTGTTCACCAAAGCAGGGTCTCTTCCGCTTGCCAGCACAAACCTATGGCCTTTTCCGTGATATCTGCACATATCAATTAAACCTCAATTGACTCTTCCCAAGAAAAATTCAATTACTTTGGTGAATTAGTAACTTATATTTATGAGTCAAGATCTGTTAAAATCATTCATACAGTGACCTGGTTATCTTTCAGGTGAAACCGAAGAAATGGTGAAAAACACTAGCCTTATTTGACTTGCTGAACTTGTGCAAAGAGAATTTTATTGGGTCAGAGGTCGCGTAAGAATGCCTCTGAATTCTGGGAGTATATAATTAAAAATTCAAAGACAGTTGCTTTACAAAACTATCTTTTTCCTATTTTATAAATCTTCACTTCCCATCAAATTGCTTCCGAGCTTATCCTATTCCATTCTTATGATAATACTTCCACCACCAGCTATCGTAATCATAACCACCGTTGATGGGTATTAGTGTGATTATTTACTACAAATTTGGTCCCCAACGACTGAAGGTTGGGTATATGAATTTGTGGGAACGATCTCATCACAAGTTCCTATACGATTTTTTTACTAATTTCGAGCTATATCTACTGCTTTTAATTATAATACCAGGCGTCTCATGCATGCTTGCACATCACAGCTGGGTCCTACCACCATTCATCATGATCAGTGCCCGCTAGTGAAAATGACAACTATTGTTCTAATTTTAATCTAATTCGAGGTGAACTGAAAATGATACTCTTTTCAATTGTGCAAATGACTCCTGGTTTTCACTTTAGGTAACTATGTTTTCAAATCCTGGAAACCAACCAAAAAACCTTTCCGGTGACGAAATTAATTATGAAACAAAAAGAGTAAACCAGGAGCAACAATTAACCAGGTTGATGTTCAACTATGGTTTGAGCTTAAGAAAGTACTAACCCGTCAAGTAAATGCAAGTGAGCTTCCAGGTTATGTGCACAGGTCAGATCCCCAGTCTGTTTCAGAAATGGCGAGTTTTTGTGATCTAATGCCAGTTCAACTCCAACGTGCGAGTAACTCCACGGCAATCCCTCAGCTAGCTTCATCAACATTGGTGGCACGTTTTCATTGAAGAACAATCCCGGCGATTTAGGGACTATGTCATGCACATTCACCACCCTCAACACCTTAACTCCAAGCGTTTCGATCCGTTCCTTGAATCTCACGTTACCAACCCTAGGACCCGAAAAGGAGAACACACTCACGGGCACAGCTCTGCTATCTTTCAACACATTTAGACCCGTTTCAACAATATCATACGCGCTAAGAATTGCCAGAGCACTGCCTAAGCTGTGACCAGTGATTGTTATGCTTATCTCTTCATCTTGGTGCATTCCAAGCAACCTCTTCAATTCAGTTAAAATCTGTTCCCTGGCTGAAAACTTGCAGAACCGGCAACTCTCGTCCTTGTCAGTGTATAGATCCAGGAAACCTGATTCTACTTTTACTGATGAATCCGGACACGGGATTTTGTTGGAAGAAATGGGTTTGAGAAAATCCATTAAATCTGCAATCCACTCTAGGCGCGTCACAGTGCCCCTCCAAGCAATGGTGATGTCACGACGGCCTAAACGTTTGGATATTTCATCGTTGGAAACCGCGACGTATCCAATCCAATTTGCATTCTTGCTCCACACTTTAGGCCACCGAGATTTCTTGAAAAAATTCGGAAGGTTAATGTTGGATGTTGCAAAGAGGTATCTCGAGACCACGTAGCCATGGTGCGCCATGCCTAGGGAGTCAAAGAATTGAAGACGCGTGAATCTGCAACTTCCACAATATTTAGAAACTGGATCAAAATCAAAAGCATCGTAACAGGCTTGCGCCATCTCGCCGTATCGAATCAGCTCTGACCGTAGAAGAGGGTCCATTGGGTCTAACATCCCAACCCAATCGTCTTGGCCGTGGATTTCTCTCCATACACCGGCCACTCTTCTTTCTCCTTGTTTACCAGGTGCAATATCTTCTTCTTCTTCTTCTTCTTCTTCTTCTTCTTTTGCTTTTCTTTCCATTTCGAGTTCATTGATGATCGAGGACAAGGACTCACTTGTTTTGGACACAACCCGTGAGATCGTAAGCGGCCTTGTTGAAAATTCCATGCTTTTGGTACGTCCAAGGCGAGATTTCTGGCCTGAAAATGACACTGGACAGCATTTCTGTGATGGCAAAACTTGATGTTTGATAGAAAGAAAGGTTTTGGATAGAGAAATGGCCATCGAAACTAGCAAGAATTGTGAAGCAGGGTCAAGGCAGTGGAAATAAAAGAAAGATTGAGGGGGCCGGGTTGGCGTCTAGGGAAGAGAAGTTTAATATAATACAGGGCTGAGCCTGAGTTGATGATCCAAATTAACCCCTAAAGTTTACGATTTTAATATTGTATTATATTATATAGTGTGCTATATATGAATATTTTGTAATGCACGTGGTTCGCGAGGGCGTCTTAGGGTCAATGGGTCAATAAGTTCGTGGTTGCGACGTTGGTTGAACAATTTTTTAGGTTTCCAGAAAGCTCCAGGCATTATCAATTAATTAATTATTTGCTAATAAAGAGGATACCTTCAAGATAAAGTTTTTGTACTTTATTATGTAGTTAATTTGGCATACTTTTTGGAAAGATCCTTTTTTTTCTATATCTAATTACTATATTAGTATTAAATACTTATCAAATTAAGCATATGCTCTACCTTAATAACACAATAATTTATGTTGGGATCTTTTTGCTATATGTCAATGGTTTTTCTTAATTATGTAATTTTCTAATTTTTTTTCCTTTAATTAAAGTTAAAACGTAAATAAATTCATTTAATGAGAGTGGATTTAACGAGGATGAATATAAAATAATTATTGCATATTTTTAAAATATATATTAAATGTACTTTTTTTTAAATACCTCGAAACTCAAACTCACTTTGTAAGAGGATTCTATTATAAATTAATTTCAAAAAATATACCAATATCAAAAAAAAAAAAAAAAGACTAAAAGCTAGTATAAGTAATAAACCAAAGGAGTTATTAAAAGAAAAAAAGAAATATAGTACTAAGAAATAAGAAAGAAGAGCCTATTATTATTGATTTCATTTCATATATTTTGAATTTTGTGTCGTTTAGCTTGCGTGATTGACCAAGTTTTTAAAGAAGTGTGAATCTTACAGCCCCTGGTCTGGGGTGTCATATCCTAATCTAGATCTAGACTAGACCATATGAACATGATGGATGATTCGCAAGCTCTGTCGTATCGTAAATTTCATTATTATAATAATTAATTTATATATATAAATTTTAAAAAATAAAATTTATAGTTATTAATTCTTATAAAAAGTGATTATGTATGAATTTTACAAACTTAATTAATCAAATAAGTCTCTTTATACATAGGGGGAGAGACTAAATTCTATTAAAAAAATTATATTTTTTAATTATTAATTTTAATAAATAATATATATAAACCAATCTAATCTTTGAATTTTAAACCTAATTCATAAACAGAAAAATTAGTATGTAATTGAATATTTGGATGTATATTATATTTAACATAATATTTTGCAATAAAATTATGTGATTCAATATATTATTATGAAATTTAAGTGTTCATATGTCATTTGTCACAATTAAGAGAAGACCATATTATCAAGTCATTCTTTAAATATATTTGACCCAAGTGCCTTTGTTTCGTAACTTATTCTTAATTTCTTCCACCTAAAATTAATTAAAAAATTTTGTCATAGCTAAGCGCATGGATATAATGGCATAATCAGCTGATGCAGTTGGGACGTAAGCCAATAAAAGTCTAATCTTTTATATACCGACTCCCACCACACTGCTAACAAAATCTTATCCCAAAAGTATAAAAATGTAAATTTAAGATATTTAACCTTTTGATTAGAAAAGGATCCAATGTTATCAATAGTCAATAATTGAACTATGATTTATAAGTAAAAGTATATATTTTTATGTCAATAAAGTTTTATTTTAAATGACAAAATCATATGAATATTAGTGATAAAGGCATTTTTAAATTTAAAGAATAATTTTTTTTTAATTATTATTAGAAGTAACTTGTAAATAATTAAAAATATTTATGATTTTTTAGATCGACTTTATTTTCTCGCATCAATTTGATTATTTTATCAATTTATCTAAATGATTTTTTTTATGTTAACTTATCATTTTATCAATAAACGATTAATGTTTAAGTTAGTTTAGCTTATCAAATCAAATTATTTAAAAATTTTTACTTTCAATTATAAATAAAATCATCAAAGTATTATCTAGACATGATATACTCTTTTACCTTTTATTTTATCTTTTTTATTTGCCTCGTTGGTTCAACATTTGAATTGGGCGTTCGCGTACAAGAATTAAAAAAATTCCTAACTTTTACCTTTAATCTCTCTTTTATATTTTTAAAATTTTACTTTCAACTCGAAATTGGGTATCAACAATTAGCCTAAGACCTTAAAACAAATAGTATCTCCCGTAATAGGGGCAGTTCAACAATGGAAATCTTTTATTTTGTCTTTAGTCCTTTGTCTTTATTTTATTATGAGATTATATTCGAGATGATCCCTTCCTCAGTGAAGGTTTCATTGTTTAATTCATCTCCTTTTTTGTACATAATGTACGTAATCCCATAGATGTTGCTAGCTGCTACCTAAATTCGATTGTTTTCTTATGGTTACCAAAAAACAAAAAAATTATATCCAGCTGTTTGAATCATCAGTGGGAAGGGCCAAGGTAACTACAGATATAAAAAAGAAAGCAGAAACATAGAATCACGTGGCAACTAATTGACGAGTAGGTAAAAAAATGAATGCTACCTCAGTTTTGGTAGAGATTCGCTGTCAAGATGTGCTGTCCAAAGATTGAACGTTTCAACTTTTTTCCGATGGCGTACGAGTTTCACTTTCACCAATTCGGAAGGTTTCCAAAAGCCAATAACAACCCGTAAATCATCGAAGGTAAATAAATAAAAATAATAATTGGTTTTATTATTGAAAAATAAGGATATGGGATCCAATTTATCTTTTTTTTTTTTTAAGTTGACTACTGTAACTATGAATTTGATTTAGATGAGTACTATGCTAAAAATTTTAGTTGAATTTAGAGGAAACAAAAGAGAAGAAAAACATAAGCTTCTTAATTCTATATTAATAGTGTGTTTGGATCGAAGAAAAAGAAAAAAATAAAAAAAATAAAAGAAATAAATTTTTAATTTAAAAAAATTAAATAAATAAAAATTAAATAACTTTTTTTTTTACAATTTTAATTTTTTTAATACCTCAATTAGAAAAGTTAATTTTTTTTATAAAAATATTATTATATTCATTTTTTAATTAATATTAAAAATTTAATCAAAAAAATTTAAACAGATCATAATTATCTTATAATTTTTTTAAATAATTTATTTTCAAATGAATTTTATATTTTTTTTAATATAAAAAATATTGATATAGTAAAAATTATGAAACCAGATAAAATAACAAATATATCATGATATAAAAATATTTTAAAATTACAAATAATAAAATATTATAATTGAAAATTTTATTTTAGTTTTTTTATTTTTTATTCAAATAATGATTATTAATTTTTTTATTAATTTTAATTATTCAAATCAAAATTATATGTATTTTATTTTTAAAATTTTTTTTATTAATGTTTATTCAAACAGTGACATCGAGAACTTAAGATTGTACTATATAGTATAATTAACATTGAACCTAAACTAAGTAAACTAAATTGGGTTGACCAATCTTTTAATATATAAGTGCCTTGTATTCTCCATGTGAATGCGATATTTCATTTGAACTCTTTAAATATAGATAAACCACTTTTTATCTATTACATATATATTATAATTATCGTTAGTGAAGTAAGAATAAACCAATTCAAATCCACCCGAATCAATTTTAATGTTTTTTAGGAGATTTTTTAATTCTTTTTTATGAGTCATTCCACCTTATATGATTGTTCTTACTTTTTACCAAAATGTGAAATACAAAATATTTGTTTATTATCTTGCTTTTTAGATTTTTTTTACTGTAATAGCGGCCTGTTTAAAGTAAATGAGATCGGTAGCTATTAATGAACATAAACGATTGTTTTGTAGTAATAAACACTTCTATCAGGGAAAAATTTAGATAAAATATTTTATGTGAAATTCATAAAATTTATTATTAAAAATGATAAAATAAAAATAAAAATTAATAGATTAAAAAATTTTGTACATAAATTAAGTGTGTAAAATTTTAAAAAAAATTTAATAAAATTTGATATATATTTTTAATAAAAATATTGATTTTTTTTTCATCGAATAAATATAAATTAAATTTAAATTAAAAATAATATTTTTATTAACTTTGTACATGTTATTGATTTTTATATTAAATTATATCAATTTATCAATTAAAAATTTTTATTAAATTATTTTTAAAAAATAATTTCACAAATTTCATATAAATTTTGTTCCTTCTACTAAACTACATTTCAAATTATCGTTGCAGCTTTTCTATCAGTTGAGATTTGGAAACATCTCATCCTTTCACCAGACACCTGTCCCAATGATGAAATTTGTATTTGGGTGAACTTGACATCATTTGCCTGACCCATTTGAGTGAGGGATTGCATCTTATTCCCCAACTTGTTTTGTGGATTTTAAAAACGAGAAGTCTCAAACCATTTGTTCTCCAACCTTCGGCCCATGAAACGTTCTATTTTTTAGGAAGGCCTAGAATGGCAACGAAACGGAGTGAGGGTATAAAGGCCCAGGATCCGCCTCGGATGTTGAAATATTACCCAACTTCCAGGCTGTTGGTTACATCCATGACCGCTTCGTTCTGGCCCGCCTCCATTAGTTTTTTTCAGTTAGTAGTAGTATTATAATTTGATCATGAACGCCATTTTTTAAAAATAAATTATTAACAAAAAAATTTATTTAACTCACCTTAAGTAAGATCAATTACTATAAATTCCCACCTTCACATATATTAATATAGGGTATAAATAAGTGCACAAAAAAAAAAAAAAGGGGGCGCGCTGCTTTTCTGGTTTTTGGAGCAGCGATGTTCGCGCTAGCTTGTCTTTGACTAATAGCAGCGTGTAATAATAAAGGCCATTATTTTATTTCATTTTGTCCGTTGTTATCGTTGGACGCATAAAAAGGACATTATCACTGTCTTTAAAACGATGATTTGGGTTGGTATTGACATTGGCGATGGAGTCCGAGGTTAGTTCCATAACCCTTGAGACTTGTATATATAATTTCCCATAGTTATTTTTTCTATTTTTTATTCCTGGCTAGCTACTATACTTATTTTCCCACCGCTCTACCCTTTTCTTCTTGGGTCAAATTCATCATTGACCAATTCTTTGTTCTGATAACCCTGAAAGGAAGACACTAAATTAGAATCTTGGTAGGCATATTAATAGCTTATACCCTTAAGTTGTGTTTGGTAAAAAATTTGAAAATGAATAAAGATAGAAATTTTTTTAATCTACTAGTGGGAATAATAAAATTTTCAACTTTATAATTTTATCATTAAATTAATAAATTTCATTATTTTTACTAATTGCACGCAAAAATATTAATGCCATTAATGTTTAATGATGCTAACATTGCTATTTGCTAAAACGATTTAATGTTCGTGTAAAAGCATTTCATTATTGAATTTGATTGATGATATGTTTTGGCTCGACTTGGTGCCGCGTAACTAGTACTCTCAAATTTATGCATGCCAGCAAGGCTTAGTGAGCCAAATGCACGACAATAATTACTTAATTTAATTTGTTTATCCAATCTTATTCGGAACTAAGAAAAGTAATTAGTAATTGACTGAAATTGTTCTTATAACATCAATTTTTTTAAGTGGCGAAATTCGTGAAAATTTAGATGCATGTTGTTTTTTTTATACGAGTTAAATATATATAAGATGAAAGATTAAATTTAAATAAAAAAGTAATTAATACATTAATCCAAGCATATTGAATGATATTGTATTTAAAGGATTACATCAACTATAGTTATTATATTATAATTAATCGATTATAATTTAAAATGATGTGAAATTAATCAGAATTTTATATAAAATTCAAATGATATGCACTTGTACTTGAGTGAAATCGGGAGTAGGATGATTTATAAAATACATACTAAGATTATTAGCATCCAAAGCTATATAGTACTAGTATTTTGGATACACATTAAGTACCAGTCTTTGATAAATTTTATCAATTTAAAAATTAAGAGCAGATGCATTGCATGTTTGCATATGTTGACACCACTTAATGTTTCCATGCAAACAAATCATGAAAATAGACCAATGCATGAAAAAGTAAAATTGGGCGGCAGTGTTATAACGTCATGTTTCCTCCGTCCTCGCCCAACGCGTACGCTTACACATTTATTAGCTGTGTTATTCAAGTGATATTTGCAGTTTTCCACAGCCAATCCTTCTTACCTCTGACAATATATATATTTATATATATAAAATTTCAAATAAGTGTTTTAAAATAATTTTTTTTTATATTAGGATAAGTGATAATGGTAATTAAAACATCATAGTAAATTCTGAAATGTCTTGTTAGTATTAAATTTATCCAATTCCAGCAAATAGCTAAATAACTTCCACAACGTGAAATATTTTCGGATGTATAAAAGTTAAAATTGGAAGAAAAAAAAGGCATCGTTTAATCGTCTTTATTTTTACTTCATTATTTAACGATTTCCACTCTGACAGTGCCTCCACCGACCGAGGGAGAGGGTAGAATAGTAATTAAACATCATAAACCACGCTCCTCTTTTTTTTTTCTCAGGCTTCGAAATCAGGCGCGAAAACTTGCCATTCTCCCGCCCCTTTCCGACCACCCCCTCCCTCCCTTTATTTTCCACCTCTCTGTCTTTCACCCAAATCCCCCCCTCCCTCTTTCTCTCTCTCTCTCTCATTTCAATCATTTTTCATATTTTCATTTTCTTTCTTTCCCTGTTTCCGTTGCTAGACAGCCATGCACCACCCACAGCCCCACATTTCTTCATCAGCCTCCGCCGCGTTTGACTTCAAACCAGCCAAACGTCGTGGCAGTTACAACTGTGGCAGATGTGGGCTTCCCAAGAAAGGCCATGTTTGCCTAGTCAGCGGCAGCAGCAGCAGCAGCACCCCTACTTCGTCTTCCACCCCAACAATCACCAGTACCTACTATTCTCCCTCGGCATCCCGTCCTCCTCATCCTCCACCTTCACGTCAGTCCTACTCCCACCTCCGACGTGCACTTTCCTTTGACGACATCGATATCCGCTGCGACTCACCGGAACTAGATTTAGACGGCTACGATTCTCCCCTCCCGGGCACGGATCTGGGTCCGGATAATGAGATAGTCTCCGGTGGGTTACCGGCGGGGTGTTTGTGGGAAATCTTGAGGAGATTGCCGCCGGCGGAACTGTTGGCGGCGGCTAGGGTGTGTAGAGGGTGGAGAGAAACGACGAAGAGACTGTGGAGGGCGGCGGAGGAGCTGAGACTTAGGGTCCCACCTAGGGCTCAGCTCAGGTTCATCGGATCGGTTTTACAGAAATGCCCGAGCCTTGTTAGACTTTCTCTTAAGATGGAAAGGTTCGGGACTAAACTAATCTTAGGCAGATCTAGGGTATTAAGGACTGGATCGGTTGATGCCAATGAAGATCAAGTTAAAATCATGAAATGTGAATTAATCTGGTTATGATAATCAATGAACTGAAATCGAAATTGATCTATAATCAAAACGCCACGAGAACTGCAAAACCGTGTTGGATCAAACCACTGTTTCAATAGCGTTCTTTGGGCAACATGCTGATAAAGTCTTCCCATAATTAAGAGCTCAAACTAATGTAATAAGTAACAGCATGGTCGAATTAGCTTTACAACATATATTTTGAACGGAAAACTTTGAGATCTTTTTCACTTGGAGATATGTATCCTAACGGCTTATTTGATTGTAAGAATTTGTAACTGGTTTTCTTTGGGGGGTTGGGGGTCAATGATGCTTTTGGACTATTGTTTTCCCCTTGTTTTACTGTTTTTTTTTTCTTGGGTTTTGCAGTGATGTGGATGCAACAATGTTGGCCTGCATTGCGTTTTCTTGCCCTAATTTGGAGTCTATGGAGATTTCTACATCGGATACAGCTGTCAATCGGATCACTGGGTATAATTTATTTTCTTACTTTTTTTTTTCGTAATTTATTGTTAGATCTTTAAAATGGTATGCCTAGTTGCTCAGTTAATATATTTTGTTACTATTGATTATTGTTTTATTGCTCACCCTTGATTTGTTGTTGGACGAATTTGTTTAGATCTAGCTAATTGGTTGAGATTTATCAGTCTTTTGATCAATAAAATTATTGTAGGGTTTGAGTGACTAAGACTACGAGGTTGAAATGTGCATAGATATTTCTAGTTGAGCAGGCTTGACCAATCTTTTTCTTTCTTTAATTTGAGATGTGATAACGTAAAAAAGTTATAAAGTTATCTACATCCAGTTGTAGATATCTTGGCCCGAGTAATGTTGGTTTATATTTGTTCCTTATTGGTCTAGAACTCTGTCTCTTCACATTTTAGTTTGTCATGCATAACGTGTTCCGTGCTAAAATTCTTGTTTATGATGGAATCCATATAAATTCTTTTGCCCCTGTTTTGGGTTTTGAACTGTTTGATGGTTAATGTTTTTGTTATATTTTGTCTATCATGTGTAGTTGCATGGTAATTAGTCACAAGTTAACAAATGCCAAATTAATTGATTCTGATTTACTTTTGTTAATTTTTTATGTATAGAGATGAATTGGGTCGTTTTGTTGCTGATAAACGCTGTCTAATGAGCCTTAAGATGGAAGGATGTTCTAATTTAGGGGGCTTTGTCCTCTCTTCATCAAGTCTATCTACACTCTGGCTTTCTGATATTTATTCCCTCTCTAAGACGGTATCTTTTCATCAAGTCATTTGTAGTTTTCTAAGTTTAATTTTTCTAGGCGTTTACGTGAGTTTGCGTTTTTTACATGTGCCTTCTATTGTAGGTTATTAACTGTCCCAGTTTGAAAGAGATGTCCTTGGAGTTTTCTCGCCAAGAAAATGATACTACTGATCTTACTACCATGGTTGATGGTTTGGGAAGAAGTTGTCCAAGGTTGCGAAAAATACACATCGCATCAGTTCGGCTTTCACATGCTGTCGTGCTTTCTCTTACAGCTGCCAACTTGAGGTTTGTTGAATCTTTTGGTCTACAAGTTCATTTTAATCATGTATCATTTATGGATCTATAGACACTGCTTTTCTTTATCAAGAATAATAGTGGTTAAATGGACTTGTTTTCTTTTATTTTCTAGCAATGTCTCATTTCGTTTCAAGGATTTAGCATTGCCTCGTTTTGTTTCTTGGATTTGTTCATTTGGAGGATAAATAATTACTAGTTTGTAACAATTGTCTATTATTCAGGGACTTGCGAATGCTTTCACTTGTTCTTGGCTCAGAAATCACAGATGCATCTGTTGCTGCTATTGTTTCAAGCTATTCAAGATTAGAATTACTTGATCTGAGTGGGTATGTTTCCTCCAGCTCTGATTAATTTATTCATCTATTTGGGTTGTTCTAAATGATTTCTTTTCATCAATTAATCTTCAGCACCATATTTCCTGATGCTTGCCGCTTGGTTTCAGGTCTAGCATCAGTGACAGTGGCATTGGAATGATCTGCAATGTGTTCCAGAGCACGTTGTTAGGACTCCTCCTTGCCCTTTGTCCCAACATCACTTCAAGTAATCTTCATGTCTAAGACACACAAATAGCACTGGCATATATATTACCTTTAATTGTACTATTTCATGTAAACCTATCAATTAATATGTTTGTCTGCATTTCTCAGGCGGAATTCAGTTTGCTACAGCTCAACTACCTCTTCTTGAGCTTATGGATTGTGGGATGACCATATGTGATCCCGATTCCCAGAATTCACCCTGTGATGAAAGTGGCGATAATGAACTTCCAAATGCATTCAACAGTAAACTGCACCTTATGTACCAGAAGCTTATCATCAAACACAGCCGATTAAAAAAACTCAGCTTGTGGGGTTGTTCTGGCTTAGATGTAAGATCTTTTAGTCCTTAATCTTGATTATGTTGCTAGTTTTTTTCTTAATATCCTCTTGTCATTCTTATTTGTGAATCTAAATGCAGGCTTTATGTTTAAACTGTCCGGAACTAAATGATCTTAATCTGAACTCTTGTAAAAACTTAAATCCAGGTATCTATTTGCTTGTTTGAACATTGCCATTTGTTGGTCTGTTGATTGTGCTCATTTTTTCTTATGATCTACTTAATAAAATGTGTTTTCCCCAGAGAGATTGCTACTTCAATGCCCAAGTTTACAAAATGTGCATGCATCAGGATGTCAGGAGTTGTTAATTGGGGCCATTAACGGCCAGGTAAATACCACTAATTTCTTTAAGTTCCATTTTGTACTTGTTAAATCACACGTGGAGCTTTATCCAATCAATCTGTTTTCTTGTGGGGGGGGGGGGTCAAATCAAGTATGCAAATTTCAAAGTTTATTGATAGGTTTTACCCTTATTTAATCTCTGAAAACGTTGGCAGGTGAGTAATAACTTAGCTTCTGTGGAAAACCATTTTCCATTTAAGCGTTTGGCTGATGGCTCCAAGAGGGTTCTTGCGCCAAATTTTCTCAGTCAACAGGTATAGTTTTATAGCAGAATTTAGTTAGAAGGAAATTCAGATGGGAATGGACTGTATTTAATACTATTACACCATTATGTGACATTGCTGTACATATGATATGATGTCACTTCTCTTCTGACGTGCCATGTCATTAGAGAATTCAAGCAATGAAATTATTCTGGTCATCCCATTTAAAAAAAAAAAAATCCTCCTTGCATTGCTGGACCCAAACCAATTTTGATGACGGTGAACGCCGCAATTTGACGGATAATTGAAAATTTCTGAACTAAGTCGAGCTTGTGAAAATGGAGGAATCATCATTGCTGATTAATAGATAAGGGGTTTTAAAAAAAAAAAATTACAAAACCTAATGTGAAGTTTTGTTGTATGCATGCAGTCAAGTGATGATGATAAGAAACGGAGGAGGATTGTGGGACGACAATGTACCGTGGTTGTGGACTAGATCCCATTTTTTGTTTGTTACCTGTACCATGCACAACATTTTTATTGTACATCATTGTTTGTTGTCATGTTTCCTATGGTTGTCCTAAACAGTGAACACTCTAATAATTTAGATTTCGTGGTATAAGGCAGTCCCCTCACTGAATTGCCTTTTCCTCCACAAATCAACAAATTTTTTTCTTTCCGAAGTAATTTTGTTGTATAAGAAAATTTTGAACGCCTTGTTGGAGTTTTTATTAACTTTTCATCTTTTAATAAAAGTTCACTTAATGTTTTAACATTAATATATTAATTATAAATATAATTATTTAAAATTGAATTACGCTGGCGAACAGAGATTTTGGAGAAAGAATTCTATTCGGTCGCTTTTTTGTAATTTTTATTTTATTCGATTATAGATGAAGTATTATTTGATTAAAAAAATATAAATTCATATGTCAGGTACATGTTAAAAATATAATAAAAATGTTAAAAAAATACTTTTTTGGGGTTTAAGTCAAGTTTGAATTAAGATTTTTATTTTTTAATCAAATGAGTACAGATATTTTCAAATGAAGTTTGGAATTGGGGTTCACCGTCGTAGCCCTAAGGCCTATCTTCATTTTTGTTTTTTAATTTTCCTTTTACAAGGTAAAAAAGTAAGGGGAAATTAGAAGAATTGAATGTTCCTTAACGCCGTTACTTAAACGCGACACGGACGACAGAACGAGAGAAGTCAGCACGACAAAGAGCAGCAGCTTCATCTAATTACTCTTATTAACACGTGTCTCGCTTCCTTTGATTTCTGATAAAAAAAGACGAACGACAGAACAAGAGAAGTCTTGGCTCTCTCTCATTCTCTCCCTCTTTCTGTGTCCGCCGGCGATGGAGATTTCTTTAATTTCCACCAATCCAAGACCCTATTTCTGTTCTTCAACAGGTTTCCCTCCCTTCTTCTCTTTAAATCATATTTGTACTCCCTAATAAGTCATAAATTCCCATCATCCTTTTATATTGATCAACTTGCCCGTTTTTTTAAAGAGCCGGCATCTTCAATGAGTATATTTATAATGCTGCAGAGTCTTTGTTATTCAAGAGAGTTAAGCTTCCTTCATGGAATTCTAGAACTTCACAACCTTTATTAGGTCGGCCATGTTCTCTATTTCACAAGGAGAATTTGTTGAAGGTTAAATTTCTTAATTCTAGCTTTCAATTCTTTGTTATTCCCTCTCTTTCCTCCTCTGTAATTTTGCTTTGGTTTCAGTTTGATAATCAATGTTTTCCTTTTGCAGGTTAAATGTATTCAAAAGAGAGAAATTCCGGTTTTAGAGGCCAGGTATTTTATCTTTAGATATTTGAAAGATGATCTGCACTTCTGGGAATCATTGCATGATATTCTTATTCCATTTGTTTAGGGCATGCATCATTGCAATACAATAAAGTTTTTTGCATTGTTGCTGCATTATTAATATCTGTTCTTGTTCAGATTTAAAAAATCTTTCTTCAAAATATTTGGTTATATCAAGATTGTGCTACCTTTACCCACAGTGTATTGCTCTTTCTTTGGTGCTTTTGTCACATGCAGGCAGAAGCAAGTACAGTTGCAGAATCAATTTTTACAGCTTCTCAAGCCACACATTATTCTTTGTTTTGCATATTTTCTGGTACCTTTGATAGAATCTCTATGTGGCTGTGAACCCGAATCTGTTACATAGAAACAGATGATAAGGGTGAAATGTTCTCTTCTATTTGAGAATTAAAGTTTCTGACAATAATGCCATTAGTGTATCATATTGACGATATAGAATCAGCTATGAGAATTTTTCTAATAAAAATTTGACTTCATTGCGTGAAATTAACTTGCTAGACACGGGATAACTGAAATATTTACACTTTCTCCATTGGAGTTTGTATGTGAAATGAATGCTGACATTAGTTAGTTGTTTCCATCTCATCCAAATGTGGATAAGGTGTAAAACAGAAAGTGTTATGCTAATATGTTTACTGATTGTACATCTCTTCTACTTATTGGTGTCATGTGTGCTATCTGGTCTTTGAGCATTTTTACTTGTGTGCTGCTTTATTCTTTTTATCCTTTACTGTTCTCCTTATTTGTGGTAATTTTGCTTCTTTTTTCTTTGAAGTTCCATGGATGAGGTTTTTGATACTTTAGCTGAACGCACTCTTCCCACATCAGCAGAAGCATCAAATCCCAATGCAAAGTAAGCTCTAATTTCTTGAATCTAGGAATAGTTTATGCTTTGCTATCGCAAATGATTGGCCATTGCTGTTTGTTGATGTGGCCTGTTTTTAAGTTGAAGGATATTGCAACCATATTTAAATATTTGTTTAAAAATACTGAATACTTCTAATCCAAATGAAGCAGAAACAGTCCCTTTTATAGTATGGACTCCTATATTCGATTTGTTGCAAAACTTGCATTCATGTTTTCCATTTAGAAAAATGTATGTGTAGAAGTATTGTTTCAAAGAAGTTCAGATTTTATAGATTAGCAGATTCTTTGCTTATAAAATTTCTTTTTGATGATGTACATGCATTTTTGGATGCCCCTCCATCTTTTCACGCTTCCCTACTGCCCCTCCTTGTGGCACTCCCATCTTGCGGGGACAAGAGATTGCACAAGAATAGTTAAGAATCCTATTTTACAAAGTGTTTAACTGACTGTTGGGTTGGCATTCTTGTGAGAAGTGTTGTTTCTTTTATTCTTATCTCAGTTCTCTGCAACTTTTGCTGTGACTCTTCTAATTAAATCTGATGCTTGGAGGTCATGCAGGCATATTGTAGGTTTAGCTGGCCCTCCTGGCTCTGGAAAAAGTACTCTAGCTGTTGAAGTTACACAGCGTGTAAACAAGTTATGGCCTCAAAAGGCTCGATCTTTTGATTCTCAAGTTAAGCCTCCAAATGTCGCTATAGTTATTCCAATGGATGGGTTCCATCTATATCGTTCCCAGCTTGATGCAATGGAGGTTAAGCTTCTTCCATCCATGACTTTTCAGTGTCATAGTTGAAACTTTCTTGGACATTTGTGATTCTAATTAGTGTAACTTCATTTTAGAACCCAGAAGAAGCACATGCCAGAAGGGGAGGTGAACTTTTGTGTTTAACATTCATTCATATTCGACTTTGTTAGAAATTAAATTGATGATCCTTCCATTGATGAATCAGCTCCATGGACTTTTGACCCTATGCTACTGCTTAGTTGTCTGAAGAACCTAAGGAATCAGGTTGGTAGCTATTGGTGCTTTAACTAAACAAACATTTGATTGGCTTGAAACAAAAGTATATGTATAGTTATTTATGTGTCTTTCACTCTTTCTTTGTATCCATGTGGATGAATGGTTGGATATATAGATAATCATAGAGACATATAGATACTTTTTTCATTTGAGTATGTAGTAAATGCAATTTTATTTTAATCAGAATAAATTTCTCAGGGGTCTGTTTATGCACCATCATTTGACCATGGCATTGGAGATCCTATTGAAGATGATATTTTTGTCAGCCTTCAGTAAGTGATTCACATCTTTTATTCTATTCAGATCATAACTCCCTCAATATTGGATAGAGTAAGTGATCCAGAGTAAAATTGTGCTTTTAGAGTTGAAGGAAGCTGGCTGTAAATTTCACATCCTTTCCATTGCTTCTGCAAATGTTATCATCGACCTTGTATATTTTTTTGTTAGTCTGTTATAGATCGTGAAAGTATTGGAAATGTGTATAAGAAGGCATGCATGCATGTTTGTTTGTTATTTGCTTTTCTTTTCATTTTTTTTTTTGGGTGAGAATTTTTGGGATGCTAAAAATTGATGAAATATGAGATTTAAGCATCTATCTTGACCAATACCCACTTTTGGGTAAAAGGATTAGTTGGACAATGGAGGTAAGTTGGAATTATAATGGCAAATAAAATGACTCTAGCAGGTTTAGTTGAGACAAGGTATTACTCTGATAAAAAGGTAGAGAATTTGTAGTATATCCCAACTCCCCACGTCTCAATGCATGTTGATCTTGTGTAATGTTTATTTGGCTTTTTTGCTCACTTTACTTTGGTTATTTTCATGTTGGGAATGACTTAGTTTCCAAATGTAGTTGCAGGTGTGCAGCAGTCGGTAGGTTGAGTTTTAGTTGATGATTGATCAATAAATAAAACATATTTCTCGTCCTCTTTGCAGGCATAAGGTGGTCATAGTTGAAGGAAATTATTTGTTATTTGAAGGAGGGGTTTGGAAGGAGATATCGTCTATGTTTGATGAGAAGTGGTAAGCATCATGCACTTCCTGCTTATGATTTCTTCTTTTTAATGGTAAGAGCCTACAATTTGATTTTATAATAAATGTTTAAATTTCTAACATTATGGGTTTTCCTTGTGTTTAGACGTCAAATAAAGTTAGATGTGTCTCAAAGTTCAACCTTGAGAACTAGTTTAGTAATCTCTTGCTTTTTATTTTTCTCTTCTTTTTTTTTTTTAATTATTGAAAGGTAAGGAGTACATTCATGCTTAAAATTGTTCTCATGTCCTTCAACTCTTCATGCTATTGTGTTTCGATTTTAAACAATGTCTCAGAAGTTGTGTGTTTGCATTAGAATTTATATACTAAATTTCCGCCTTTGAAACAAGCATATGAAAATTCTGTTTTGTTTTCTGCAATGCTGCAATGCCTTTATTCTACATTTGCTTTTCTGTTCAAGGTTCATTGATGTTGACCTTGACACGGCAATGCAACGAGTTCTAAGACGGCATATTGCAACAGGTAAGGATCCTTTTTAATTTTTAAACAGCTACCTAAGTTACATAGTCATTTAAAAAAAAAAAATGGCTGATGCATCATGCATGTTGATATTGTTTCCCTGTTCTATCGCAGGAAAGCACCCTGATGTTGCTCAATGGCGGGTAAGCTAGACTTTAAGTGAGCCGAAAAGTTTTTTTAATTGATTTAAACCTCTAGATAATTCTTTTTATTTTTTCTAATCTTTATTTATCATGCAGATTGACTACAATGATCGACCTAACGCAGAACTTATAATGCCATCAAGCAAAAATGCTGACCTGGTGATCAAGTCTATTGATTTCCAAAGGTAAACGGTAGTTGAATACTTGAATAGGAACCAGATGAAATTTTGCATTGATTGATGGGTGATTTGCATTGTTTTTGTTTGAATCAGATAGAAAGATGGCTTCAATAATACATTTTCTGCGAGAGTGGAAATCTATGTCCTTAATTGGAAGTAAAATCTCTATTTGCTCATTGTTCTTACGGTTTAACGACAGTACATAAAATTAGTATAATATACCAAATCATAGATAAATTCATAGAACAAAGCAACCGTTTGCTTTTTCCTCGTTAATGCTTTGATAAATCGAAGTACGTGATTAACGTTTTCTATTTCTCAGTTGGCCATTGAAAATGAAGGAAAAAATTAGAGAGAACTTCGGTTAAATAGTTTATTTCAAGTTGAAACAGTGGATAGAGTATTTTATTTAGAATTTTTTTTATTACAATACTATAATTAGACAATCACAATAAAAAAGTATATAGAAATTTATCACTTAAAAATATGGATTTTATATAATTTTTAATGAATCCTATGTATTATTAAATTATAATTGATTAATTATATTATAATAATTATATTATTGAAATGAAAATGTTCCCGGGAATATTGTGCTTGTTCGGCTTTTTATAATGGGCCTCCTGTCGGTCTGTGTGGATTATACATTGAAATTGAATTTTGTAGATGTGCTCCATCAGGAGAAAGTTTTTTTTTTTTTGGTTGAAGTAAAAGATGACTAGGGCGGATTTAGGTGGGACTGATGTCTTAAAAAATGGAGTATTTTTATTAGTAAAAGACTCAAAATTTGAGTGATTCTTGTGTCTGGCCCTCGCTAAAATCTCCCCCCCAAAAAAAAAAAAGAATTATTAGAAATAAATCCAAATTTTTTTATTTTTTTTACTTCACTAAATGTAAATTTGGAAATAAACCCATCACTTTTACGTCCATTATTAATTATTAAGTTTCAAATCACGTATATCCAATCTAATATTGTGAGACAACAAAAAAATATGGATAAATGATAATGATGGAGTTATCACTATTAATTATTTATTTAAAATTTAAAATATTTTTTATGTGGCACCTACCCTTTTTCTTCTCCCATAGAAATGCATGGAATTGAGCAAAGGTTTCAGATCCAAGATACTATCAGAGACAAAGACAGGCCAGTTGGTAATAATAATTAAAAAAATTTATTATTACTACAGGCAGGGCCAGGGCAGCAATTGCCACGACTTTCGCCAAATTCCAACCATTCGTGCCAGTGCCGCCAACAGCAGGGACCACTTCCCCACCCATTAAGCCCTGACTCACAGTCACAGGTCAAAACCATCTCCCTGTCTGCATGCCCATTGCTTCGTTCACACTCGGACAGGCAACTGTTTTTTCCCCTTCCCTGTGCTTTCCCATTTATTAACTTGATTTCCCTTTTCTTATTTCAACCATTCAACTAAAGAATAAACGTCCTATTCTACTTCTTGCATTGGACAGACAACAATCTTTTTCATTTAAAAATGAAATAAAAACACAAACACAGATCAGCTGACCTAAACAAATGGGCGTGAATAAATGCCCACATGATCTTGTTCCCTTCCCATTACGAAATTTTACTACTCTCAGTGTACATAATAATAATAATAATAATTGAAGGAACAAAAAATGAAACACAACAAATAATTATAAGTACAAATAGATACATATTATTTATAGTGAGAAGTGTTTTTTCAAGTAAGCAAGCCATAATTGATAGTAGCAAATTAGAGACAAGCAAAAGACGACAGGCCAAGTTCTTCCGACGACATACAGTAATATTCATTATTCGTTTTGTCCATAACAAATACTGATGAAGTAGTACTGGTACTTTATATCTCACATATTAACTTTATTTATATATCAACTGTTCTTAACACAAAAACACCCAAATAATAATAATAATAATAAAGTCAACCTGCTCAATCCATCTGCGCTATTAACGGCTACATCCTTCAGCTTCTGTTCTTGCATTTCTCCATGGCTCTTGGTGCTGAAATACATTATCATTTTTTAGTCAAAATATTTAATTAATAGATAAAAATAATTAATAATGAAGAAGTTGAGTTCCTTAATATATATATATATATATATACACTTTGAGGAAGGTGCTTAATTAATAATTAAATAAAATTAGCAAAAGGGTTGAGAGTAGATTTTCTTCTTCTAACTTGCATGGGAAAATATATATATACTAACCAAGTCCAATTGCCTCGGTTCCTTTCATTATGCGCAACCTCTTGCATGATTCAACAAACATCCTGATTCAAGAAAAAAAACATGTATATTAAAAGATTTTGATCCTTTTTTATCTATATATTGAAGAATTAATTTTGTTTCATTTATATATGTAAATTTTGTGGAAGTTCTTAAGATCTTTTTCTCCAATTAATTTAAAAGCTCCAAATTAGTCCAAAGACTAATAGGGATGAGATGTAGGTGGAGATGAACAAGTACATACTCCCAAGGGACATCACCAACAAGCATCCAGTCACCATCCTTGTCCTCATAGGTAGGAACATAGTCAGAGTCATTAAGGAGATCCATAAGCTTGCTCTCATTCATGAAATCCTTCATTCCTTGGGATCCACAATTTCCTTCATTATTCAACAACAATTAATACTACTATGTCAATTAGAAAATGTCAAATGCAATCATAATTAAAAAGGAAAAAAAGTCACTACGATGGAATGTTGTTCAATATATACGTACCAATGGTGAAAGAACCGAACATTTTGGCTAAAGCATCAGAGAGATCCTGGTAACTATTGTACATTCTCAAGTCCACTTTGCGAAGGTAAGGTGCACCGTCCATGCTCACCTTCACAAAGGCGGCCTTCTCACTACTCTCCTCGCTGCTACCCTTTTGGGTGGCTAACACGTTCTTTCTGAATGACCGGACTGGTGGCCAACCCACAACTTGAGCTCTAAAATCATATATTACATGAATTTTGATTATTCAATTTTGCATTTCCAGCGCTAAGAAGAATTTCATCATCAAATCAGATTATAAGGTTAGAAACAAGTGAAAATAAGCAAATCGATTTAAAATATTGGGGGAAGATTTAATTCTACAATATATATTCTTTGATGAGTTATTAACAAAGATAAATCTACATGGGTTGATGAAATCTTATTATACACCTTACTTTATTGTTATATGTGTATTTTTTGTATAAAAGAGATTACGGTTTGAAGATAAAGAAAAATATTATAGATATTAACATTTAAATTTTAAACCTGTTAGATGTTAATTTTTAAGTGTGACCATATGAATCAATATATTTAAGCTCTGAATTTCTCTATATGTATACTTTTAAATTAAAGTAATTAAACTTTGGTTTTGAGTTTATGTATCTTAATTTTTTTGTATTCCATTCTGTCAATAATGGAGATGTAATCCATTACAATTGTTATTTATGTCAGTTGTGTATTTAATTTACAAATTGGGACTAATTAATTTAGCAAGCTTTCAACATATACAAGTTTGGAAAATATATAAAAAAGAAAAAATCATAAAAAATAGTTTTCTTTATACTAATTTTGCATGTAGTACTAGCTAGTTGACAATTAGGAGAGCCTATTCCTCAAAAAGATAAAAGAAAAAAAAAAAAAAAAGGAGAGCCTATAGTAGAAAGAGGGATGTATGGTATAATTCCCTATTAATTGTTCTTAAAAAATATTACTATTCCCAGGGAATTCAATAGATAAGAATCATTTTAAACTACATCTCTCTTTCTTTTTTCTTCTATATATATGTATCTCATTCGAAATGAAAAAAATAAAAATAAAAGAAAACATAGATATAAATTTGTCTAAGCTTCACAATGATATATATATATATATATATATATTTCAAAGATCCAAAGTCCTTCGTAACTAACATAATTGACATCAAAAGGGTAATTGTGGAAACTACTCTGTCTCCCTTCTCTCATGTAAAATATGCTTAACTTTAAGTAACTAATAACCCTAATCATCCCATAATTATGCACTAACATATTTCCCAAGAAAATAAAGTAATAAATGAAAAAACCCAAACAAGATTTTTTTCTTTTTTTAAAAAAAACAAGGATGCAACGTACTTGGCAGGAGGCTTAGCAGGATCAGTAGCACAAGGGAGAAGATTCTTCTCCTTGTGCAAAACTTTCACCTTCTCATCGTTTGCATCCATCCCAGAGCTTTCTTTCGAGGAAAGGTTGAGCTTCAAATCAACAGTCTCGGAGAAGCCTCTCTTCCTCACGACCTCACCTTCACCTGATCCTCCTCCTCCAGGTAACCCTAGCCTTAGCTCAGTCTCTGCAAACCCCATTTTTGCCTTCTCGCAACCTCCAACATGATTTAATCCTCCTCCTTTCATCCCCATCTTTAGCCCGACTTCCATAGCTTTCCTCTCGCTCTCTCTCTTTCTAATTGCTTTTGTTGTAGCTTTGGCTTCGTGGTTTTTGAGTTGGGTTTGGTGCTTTGAGCTAAAAGTGAAGAAAAACGAAGTTTGTAATAAACAAAGTGGGTTTGAGATTATGGAGAGTACTAGTAAGAATAATAGCGACGTTGGCGGAAGAGGAGACTGTTGGGGCTTTGGAGGATACTAATATACGGACAGCTGCACTGTCGATTTATACTTTTGATAAACTGATTGTGGACACGTGGCAGAACCTGTGATCTGGATTATCCTATCTTGTTGGGACAGGTGACGACAAGTTGAGGTTAGCATCCTATGATTGTGTTACTTGTGTGTGGAGAGAGAAAGAAAGAGATAGTAGACAACCCTCGTTGGTTGCTCTCCCCATTTTAACCAGGGTTTGGCCCGCCCTCCCCTTATTCAATTTTCCAATTCTTTTAAACAATAATTCCCTTAATTGAGAATTGAGGGATGAGAGTAGTTTTTCAATCATAAGTAGAAAAAGATTATCCCATCTATACATATAATAAATGAGTAAAAGCTTTACTAAAATAAAGAAAAATTCATTCAACTAATAACTCAATTATAAGAGTACTAATTACTAATTAAGAAAGCTTGCCATTATTATATATCATGATCTACTTCTTCCTCTTGCTCATTAATGTAATCTTATTCATTAGTTTTCATGAAGAATAGGAACAAACAATTTCGTTTTCCTTTTTCTTTTTTATATAATGATCTTCTACTTCATTAATGCCTATATAATTGAATTTTACATATAAAAGAGTAATAAGAAAAAGCAAAATTGGTTATCATTAAATTTATAGATGTATGTTCAACTTACAAATTAATAACTATTAATCTCGGATTTATCTTTTTATTTAAAGAAATTCATTCGAAAATCAAATGATTAACGAGTCATGGGGGATTATAATAGAATTGGGACTTAAATGGAACTTGAGCATGTATTATTTGGACCGTATTCGCCTTACAATATTGTAAGTTGAAGATAAATAAATGTCAAAGATAATTGATTAGTATAACTTATACAAATGCATAAATGCAATATAATATATGTTTTATAGACATAATTTTTTGGGTTTTATTTTAGAAAAAGTAAATATCTTGTGTTCCCCAGTCTCAACCGAGTTTTCATGCGTATAATTTATGAGCTTTTTCAAATGTTACACTCCAAATACAACACCATTTGATATCCTACATATAGTACAGATATAGCAAAATAATTAGTGCTTAGAAAGCTGGCAAGAAAAGCATATGTTGGGGCTGTGGCTTTAAGTAGACTGCCTTCCATAAGGAAATGCCGGCGCAAGAGGAGAAAACACGAACAATAATTTGACAGGCCACGATAACTGGACGTTGCTATGGCATGCACAAGAAGGATTCTTTGGTTCATCTCCATCTGTAATGTCAGCTGGTGTTGGTCCATATATATATATCTCAAATTGCATGTACACATGGAAGCCACGATCCCATTGAATAAATCTCACCCCCACCATTGTAGAGAGTAGCATATGGAAAGTTTGAACGACAGTAGGATTTTTTTTTTTTCAGTTTGATCAATCAGCAATTGGAACTACAGACTACAGTTGTTATCTTACCATAATTACCGAGACAATAGTCATGAAAACGCAAAAATGGATAAAAATGTTTTGTGATTTTAATCAAAACACCAAGACGTTAAAGTATATAGTAATTAAATTTTGTTCTAATAATTAAATTATAAACAGTAATTATATTCTTCAATTCTTTTATCATATATGTCTTCCGCTTCAAAAATAATCAAAACGCCAAGCTTATGTAATTATATATGCCTTCGTTTCATTTTCTTTATCTTTTTTTTTAAATGTTCTAAAACAAAGTTTCTTTTTTTTTTTTTCATTTTTGAAAACTTTTTTCCAAATAATTCATTTTTGATAATACTCTTAATTTTTTATACTTGAAATTGATTTTTCAAACTTTTTTACTTTTTATAACAAAAAGAATGATAAAGTAATACATTGTTACTTTTTAACGTGTTTCAAATCTTAAACCGTAAGATGATGGTAAGTATGCCTTCCAACTTAAAAAACAAAAATAAAAATCTTGATTAGTCCAAGAAAAGAAGTAAAAGTTAGTAACCATTGTAATTGTTTTTATCTCTCTAGATAATAAGAAAAGTTCCATCTTTTTGAATCATCAGCATCACCTTTTTCTATCAGAATCACCTTTTCGACCTTTTCCATCATTATTATTATGAGGGGAATCCTTTTTGTCGTTAATTAATTGAAGTTAGTTTTGATGATCTCCTTTTAAGACCATAATATGTACACACCGTTATGTTTATAAATGCTCGTTGAAATTACTTACTATATTATTTTTTAATGTTTTTAAAATATTTCTTTTACTTAAATATGCTATTTTTATCAAATTCAAAAGAAAAAATAAATATTATCTTTAACATATTCCTACTGCTAATATCTAAGTAGCATCTATGCTTGCTATGATTTCATGGTTGAAACGAAGGAGGAAAAGTTCCAAATAGAATAAGGTTAGTGGTTTTATTTTGATTATTATTGTTTTTTAATCTCGACGGTTGGCTGAGAAAGTGGGACCCAAGTGTAAGAAGGGGCATGTGATGAGATTCATTGGTAGGGGAAAATTTTAGGGGGACCCACAAAGTGGCCATGTGAACTTGTTTCCTTATGGTTTTGTGTCGCCTTTGTCTCAAACCCTATCCCATGTGCGCCGCTGAAGGGCTTCCCACTTCCCTTCCCTTCCCAATTCCATTTTTTTTTTCTTCTTAATTTTTATTTTAATACTAACAATTATTTATTTTTATTATATTCACTATACTATTAACCGTAGCTCTAATTATGTCTTCATTACAGTAATTAAGTATATAATGTCAATATACATATAATGTTATTAATTAAATCCTTCCAGAAACCTCTTACAATATTATATCTGTGATCTCTCCCATTGGTCAATCAATGGCTGCTTATAAGTTAGAACGATAGAGGTCATCTTCTCCAAATTAAGAAGATTTAAAGTTGAGTACTAAGATTTCATGTGTAAAATTTTGACACTTGGTTTCCCTACAAAGAATCAGAATCATTATTAATTATAAACCAATGATCATTTCACATTTTTTTTTTTTAAATTTGATGCTGGATAAAATAATAATTCAATCATTATTGACCAGAGATACTGTTATTTTATTTCTTATACTGGCCGGTGGTTATGTTCATTGAGATTAAAAAAAATTATAGGTCAAATTAAACACGAAACCAAAAAATTCTTAAAAAGAACCGAAATAATGAATGATATTAAAAATTTATAAACTTGATACATACATATATATATATATATACTTATGTAATTTAAAATAATGTTTTAAATTAAACAAATCAATTATTTAAGCTTAAAGTTCAACTTTAATCATTTTAAAGGAAGCAGATGATGAAGGTGGAATTTGAAGAATCTTGTTGCTCCTATACCTTCTATGCCGGAAATTAATCTTATGCTTTTTTTTTTTAATATCATTGCATTTTATTAATGTAACCTCAAATTAGAACAGATCCAAATTAAAAATCATGTGAATCTTTTCTACAAAAAAGGGAGATTGTGCTTGCACTTATAACAATGAAACGATGGCATGTTCACATCTTAGATGCTACTTTTAGTAAAAATTTGAATGATTAAATTATTCTCTTTTTAACAACTTAAATAGAAAAAGTGAATTATTTGACAAGTACTTTAACAATAATCTATTTTTAATGAGATGAAGCTATCAAAGAGCAAAGAATAACTACTTTTCAATATATAGCTATATGCATATATTTATATGGCTCGAAATGACAAGGCCGGGTTTTGATATGGAGGTTATGGGAAAGGGAAAGAAATTGCTTGAAATGCAATGTATTCTACCCAAGACTGACAAATTCAAATGTCGCATTCACTTTTTAGATATTCATGCAAAAGCTCATTCCAACAGCAACACTGAAAAGCTTTGTTTGCATCAGACGGCAACCCCTAAAAACTTTCATTTTTTGTTGGATAATATGAAATTTTTCACTATTTTTCTCGCTACAAATTACATTCTCCAAAAAATATAATCAATAAAAAAAGTATGTTAAAAAATAATAAATCATCATATTTAATTTTTAAAACCAATATTGCTTTGCATGTTCAGGTTGCATTTTTATGTATAAACTAATAAACATGTAGCATGAAAACAAGTTTGATTTGTATATAAGCATATTTATTCGAATGCATGCATTTTTCTTTTTTGTGTTCATAATATTTAATGTGGTCTGTCTATGGGGACAAAGCCCTAAAGTTATGTTACCATAAATAATCGACAAAAGTAATTTTGACCAAATTTCCTTGAACATGGAGTCATAATATTGTTCATGAAGGATTGTTTCCATTCTTGTTTATAAGTCCAAGTTACGGGAAGCAGCACAATTAAGGCTTCGATAAAAGATAGAAAGCTGAAATTTGTGGCAATGCTTGTGGCCAACCAATTCAATTTTTATTCTCTGGGTCAGAAAAATGAGAAAAGACCAACACCTCTATTGACCGTTGAAACTCTTATGAGTAGATAAAATCGAATTATTAAAAGGTGATGGGTGATTCTGATCTCAAGAGAATCGCAACAAGAAAGTAGTAATCAAATTGATATAGAGTTTGGCTCTGCAGGATATCCTGTCTCACCTTTTGCTTACCAAAATGGGCCAGGCAGATTAAACTCGTTAAGAAAGGGGCCGAAATCACAACTCCTCACGGAGGAGCTGTGAAAGTGCAAGTTTGGGCCCAATCAGGGTAAGAACAGTGGCCCAGTTTCTGCTAATATTACTGCCCTTAGCCATGGGGCCAGGGGCCACTCAGGACATCCATCAATGAGTACCCACAGTCACGTGTGTTCGAGAACAAAGTCAATCTCTTGAAAGAAAATGTTGGGTTGTTTTTGGATGGCTTTAATTTCCCATATTTGAATAGGTGCTAGCAGCTAAGCTTTTAAAGAAGATGGTTAATGGTTTGGCTTTTTTTAAGACAGACAGATTATTTTTGGGTTTTACTTAGATCTAATTTTCTTCTTAAGCAATTTTACAAGTATATATTTTTTAATTTATTGCATTCAAAATTTTAATTTTTTGAATATTCTCACAAAGATCGAATGTCGATGCATGAAATGGTTGATGGGCATGGAAAGCAAAGGCCGAACCCAATAATTACAGGGGAAGGGTGGGGACTGCTCTTAATG